CAATGTACAGAGAATTGAAATACACAAACAAGGACACAATTCAAACTCGAAAAACAATATTTTTATTCATATAGGAATCCATGTATTTATTAGATGATTTATTGGTTCAACTTTTCATAATCAGAGATTGGGCCCAAATATACTGGTAGGCGATACATTTGCACTACAAGTTTTCAACAGCAGACGTCATCATAGAGTTTGCGATGCATTGAATGAATGAACCTTTTTCCGATACAGTTGGCTGGAAAGCTTCACTTTGCGATCACTACTGGATGCCACACATCAAAGAAGACGGACATCCGAGAAAAACGGTAATTACGGTCAATTTACTCAGACAATAGAGCAACGCAACTACACACACACACACACACACACATCTGCCATCGCGTCGGCAGCAAATACCAAAAGCTGAAGTTAATGTTACTGTAGCCGAGGGGTTCGGGTGCCCCTATAATTTGTGTAGATAATAAAAGCCGAACCGGCGCAGAACATTTATTCCTCCTTCCTTCTTTCAACAGCCCCAGTTCAACACCACACCAACTTCCTCTCCCCCTTCACAACAAAAGCCCCCACACCGGAACACCTGTGCAACAGTAGCTTACATTACCTTAGCATGCTAACAACGGTGTCACCTTGGACACGGAATCGAAACAATGACTTTGACTTTCACGGCAGTTATTTGCGGTTGAATGAACGGCCGTCTACTTATTTACACTATGGTCGTAAGAATGACTGGGTGTGTGAATAAGTAACTTAACTGTCTGCAGTGGAAACGGATAAAGTACCCCACCTAGCCAATCGGCTAACTTATCTCGGCTAGCATAGCGGCTAACTGGCTGAGTTAGCATGTTAGCTGCAGTAAGATGACTTTCTCTGATTACCGGTAGTCAGACGAGTTTACGACGGGTGTCCCCCGTGCTCGTGGTCGGGAGACTTCCCTGTTGTCCTTCCCATCCGTGCGCAGCCGAGCTCGTCTCCTCAGCTAGCCCCGTGCTAGCCTGTAGCTGCGCAGGAGGGTTGTTGTAATCCGGGTATCCAGCTCTGTAGCCTCGCATCACCGGACTCGGGGACGTCAACAGCTGATTCAGAGTCGGTGTGGCCCCGGAGGGGAGCTGCTGCCGACCGGGAAACCGCTGCAACCCCCCGTCGTTGCCGCCGCTAGCTAGCACAGCTGCTTTAGCAGAGCCGCCGGGACCCGTCAGACTACCTCCGGGACTCATCGTGGCCCCGTATCCCCTGCTCCCGTAGCCGGCTCGGTAGTCCGGGAAGGGGCCGTGCGGGTCGTTGCTGCTGTAGGCTTCGTGGGAGTGGTGCACCCGGTCCATGGTGCCGTGCACGGAGGAGCCGGTTCACCCTGAACCGTGAGCTTTGTTGTCCGCCATGTTGCTGTGAGCAGCGCCGCCCTCCTCCGCCTCCATCATTCCCACTCCGGCGGTCAGAGGCTTGTTGTTGGTGGATGATTCCGGGCTGGCGTCTTCCAGCTCCTCCTCTTCCTCCCCCTGTTCATCATCTTCATCCTCCCTCTTCCATGTATATATGTATTTGTTTAGTATATTTATGATCATTAAAACGGTCCCGATAAATAAAGATTAATGTCATTTGGGCGGATGGTTGTGCGTCTCTGTGTGGCCCTGCGGGCTGGTGACCAGTCGGGATGAACCCGTCTATCGCCTGAAGTTGGCTGGGACAGACTCCTGCCCCCCCGCGACCCCGTGTGCAGGATAAGTGGTTTGACTTTCCATTAATAATTCATATATAAGATAGGAATGACTGACAATGGGGTTTTTATTTTAAAAAACTGCACAAACCTGTTAGATTATCATAGAAATGGAGAAAAACTCCTTCGAAGGTGAATATATTTTTTAGTTCACAAGTATTGATAAAAATGTAAAACATGTAAGGATCACTGAAAACTCAAAGCGCCGAACTCGGCCTCGTGCAGCAGCTGCTGCATCTTGGTCCTGACCCACGACTGCTTCTCAGCAGGAAGTCTCCTCATGGCCGGAGCCAGGCTCAGGAGGAACAGGGTCACATGGTCTCTCTGGTCCAGGTCCCGGTCTCTCTGGGCCTCCCTGGCCTCCATCCTCCTCACGTACTCCTGCAGCAGGCCGTCGCTGCTCCAGCTCCTGGCTCGGGTCGGCCTAGTGGACGCCTCCTCCTCCTCCTCCTCCTCCTCGGCGTCGGTTCGGTCGTCCAGAAGCTCTGCCGCTACGGCCTCCTGCTCCTCTGTTTTCAAGTGGTTGAGCCTAGACGCGGTGCAGGGCGGCACGGGGGGGGCTCGGTGTGGCGGGAGGTGACGGAGGTCGGGACGAGGAGGCTGATCCGAGGAAGAGGCCAAGGAGGCGGCGAGAGACGTGACCGACTGCATCATCACCTCAAAGAGCTCCCTCATGTTGTCGTGCGGCGTCGTCGTAACGCAGGCGATCCCCGAGGTTGACTCCATCTTCGCCTCCTTGAACCCGATGGCGCCGTCTCTGCTGGCAGAAGACGGACGCTTCCTGTGGAGGAACTCCGAGGAGGAGGAGGAGGAGGTGGTGGTTGTTGTGGCGTCGACTACGGAGACGTCTGCAGGGACGGATTCAAGAAATCACGTTTTATTCTCTTCCAGAAAAACAACCTACAATTACATTAACCCCTCCCCACAAACCGGGTCCTTCTGAGTAGAACAGACCGTAGTGGTCTTCGTCGTCGCTCCGGGTGTCCGTGGTGGTGCTGCAGCCCGTCTCAGAGGGGTGGAGCTGGGGGGGCTGAGGGTCCAGAGCCCACCCGTTGCAGCCCGCGGCTCTGGCGTCGATGAACGGGTTCAGAAAGGACAAGATGGCCGAATATCTCCAGGGCCGGTAGTTGAAGAGGCCGATGCCGCTCTCCCGCCGGTCCTTCTCCCGCTGCCTCTCCCTGCGGTGCTGGTCCCGCAGCGTCTTCCACTTCCTCCGGCATTCTGCCTCTGGTGAGCACAGGAAGTTACTGTTATCCAACCCAAACGCGATACATCGCCTCCATCTAATGGGCCGCTGAAGGCCCTGTTGGTGGAGTATATTCAAATACTACACAAACATTTGTGAGGGAAATATTGAACTTTATTACTGCATTGGTCTGATAAGCTTTCGTTACTTTGCTGATTTGGATGTTACAGAAAAATATCTTATCAGTAATACATTCTGTAATATATCATAGGTTTATGTTTTGTGCCTAAATTAGATTAACCACCGTATAGTTTGTAAAAGTGTTCTTAATATTTTCGTCTTCAGTAGGAACCAATGTGCTTTGGAGCTGGAAGCTGCAGACAGTCGGACGATATTAAGCGACGGACTTATTGTTTTGATCTTTGCTTTGGATCTTTTCAGGAAACAAATGGTGAATAATTGCCATGAAAATGAAGCCGTTTGACACCCGGTGGACACCCGCTGGACACCCGATGGACACCCGGTGGACACCCGGTGGACAGAGGACGCACGGCACGCAGCCGGTACGTCGCTGTAGGAGGTCAAAGAACGTACCGGGGACACCGACGATGTCCGAGACGTGTCGCCAGGAGTCGGCCCGCATGTTGAGGTCCCGGTAGGTCGGGGAGTTGGTGTCGTAGAGACTCGGGAAGCCGGACACCGCCAGGATCAGCTTGTGCTCCATTTTATGTCGCGTCCCTGCTGGAGAGAAGAAGAAAACAACCACCTATTTCCGTTTCCGGTCGAAGCTCTTTATTTTTTCCATCTTTATCGAAACTACATTAAAACGTTAATAGACATTTCAGATTCTTAGTGATAACAATATACCAGAACGTATTAAAGTAGTATAATGTGTATTTATAGACTTAATTTATATGGAATTAAAATATGACGTCATTTTGAATCACTGAGCCCCAAAGGGGGGTTTGTTAACGGAAGGATTTATTTTAACACTAAAACACACAAAGTCACTCGTTAACATTTATATTAATGTTTGTAATTCGGTTTTCTGTGTTTTATGTAGCTGACATTTGGACCAGAACTGTGGAAAACTGATTTAAAATGACATGTCGTTTATCTGACGCTTTTATCCAAAGCGACTTACAATAAGAACATTTAACCATAAAGACACAAACTCAGAAGAACAAGAAACAAGAAAGTGCGATTTCATCAAATAAGCCAGTTTACAACTCGCTGTAGATAAGAACCATTATAAGTCCAATGTAAGTGCTGCAGTTAGTTAGTGTGTTAGTGGAGGTAGAGTCTGAAGAGGTGTGTCTTTAGTCTGAAGATGTGAAGGCTCTCTGTGGTCCTGATGTCTTCAGAGACCTCCTTCCTCCATTTAGGAGCAGGACAGCAAAGAGTGGAGATCTAGTCGAGGGTTTTGCTCTCAGTGAGGAGGAACAAGCAGTTTATCACATGCAGAGCGGAGAGGTCAGAGGTCGGGATGTCGGGTTGGACCAGGTCCTGGATGGAAGCTGGATCCATTCACAGCCTGGTACCTGAGCACCATGTTTAGAACTGGATGAGCCACCGGTACCAGTGAAGAGAGCGGAAAATCTAGATGATATTCGCAATATTATGAATGACTAAACCTTAAAATAGGTAAACAGTCCATCTAATTTCCACCAATGCAGCTTTATGTTCCACGTGGTCTCTGGGGGCCTTTGGGGGCCGCGGCCCCCAGAGGAGGGAGTCCTGCACTCTGCAGAGACAGAAAGTCATTTTTTCAGGTATGTGAAGTGTGCCTCTACAATGGCCATGCTTATTAGATCCCAGTCAGGAATTCATTCAAATATTAAAAATATCACAGAATTACAGAATAAATACTACGTCATTTAAATTGCTCCAGTTTGCTTTAAAATAAATGCTCGGTAGTTTTACTGCAACAGCAAAGTATCAGAGGACATTATATGGTCTGATGTTTTTCTTTAATTCACATATAGAACCTGGTTTTATAAGAGCTTCTTTATTAAAAGGTGCATATAAAACAAAGACAGACGCATAAATAAAGTCTCCTACACAGTTAAGTGTTGGATGAACCAACCAAACGTTTGGGGAGTTTTTCGTGTGCTGATGGAGGTTTCGGACAGAGGATGTCGTATGTGTACAGACTGTAAAGCCCTCTGAGGCCGAACACACACAGTCTGTGACAACGCTGAGAATCACTCACAGTCACTGTTGACCAGGAGAGATATAATGACACACACACACTCGCCAGCTTGGTTTCCCTCCGTCATCATCTTTTTTTTTGAACCAATATTTACATAAAAAAGAGGCAAATTTACAGTAAACCGCTGTGAAAGAGTGTAAGTGGTGCTTTGTGTTTGTAGCTTGCTGGCTCGATACTTTGAGGAACATTAGATAAACTTTAGACAAGAAAACTAAACGTTGCGACAGAGTAACTGTCTGCATGTATGTGCATTTTTGAAACGCCTGTGTGTGCGTGTGCTGGTATTTGTGTGTGATGGGTAGTGACAGGCGTAGGCCCCGCCACAATAAGAGCCTCTGTAGCTGCAGCAGAGGGCAGGAAGCAGTGAGGGGGGCGGAGCCGGGTCAAACACCCTGGGAACGCCACGGGACCGCAGGGGAGAAGCGTGGGGGTTGTTTCCCACTGTCCCACGAGCACCTGAACGCACCACCTCCAACAACATCAACAACTGGGAAGTAGTAACCTAGGGGACCTCTGACCTTGTCTTACATTGGGGTTTCTCTCTTAACATGTTGTCATGTTGTCATGTTAGGCACCAACCGCCAAGTCAACTTCCTCGTATGTCTGACACATTATGGTGATAAATGTTCCTGATTAGACTGGTTCATGGAGGATCAGGTCTACACATAGACTGGTTCATGGAGGATCAGGTCTACACATAGACTGGTTCATGGAGGATCAGGTCTACACATAGACTGGTTCATGGAGGATCAGGTCTACACATAGACTGGTTCATGGAGGATCAGGTCTACACATAGACTGGTTCATGGAGGATCAGGTCTACACATAGACTGGACAGACACACAAGCAGATAAAGTCCTGGGAGAGTTGGGGGAGTTGGATATCAGCTGACAGAGTGTGTCGTTGTGTGTACTTGTGTGTGTGTGTGGAGACTCTGAGATGGGCGAGCAGGTCTTTCCCACACCCACTCTCTCTCTCTCTCTCTCTCTCTCTCTCTCTAGAATGCCACAAAACACTCACACACACACACACACACACACACACACACACTCGCTGTGCGACCCCCATCGGTGGAACGTGTGTGGTCAGTGGGCCCAAAAGAACCCGGTCACGTTCCTGCAAGAGGCAGTAAAACATTATATATACACATATATGCACATATATATATATACACACACATGTGCACGTGTGCGTGTTGAAGCCTCCTGAGGTGAAGCGAACACTGAGCGTCTGGAGGAGAAGTGGCGCTCTCGCTCTGGAACACCGACTCTCACACCTCCTGACACAAGAGGAGCCTCCAGAGATAACAAACCTCTGGAACCGTGTGTGTGTGTGTGTGTGCGTGTGCGCGTGTGCGCGTGTGCGTGTGTGTGCATGTGTGTGTGTGTGTGTGTGTCGGGGCTGATGACAGGTATGCTTCCTGTAATCTGGACTCCTGCAGGGTTTCCTTGATGTTTCCATCGTGTGTGGACGTGTCTGGAGATTAGAGGTCCAAGTCCCTCCGTCTGCTGGGAAACACTTCAGGTAGAGTGAACGGGCTCTTCAGGGTTCTCAGGGTTCTTCAGAGAGGTGATCCCACACGATGATTCAAGAAGAACCTTTTAAGGTTGATCACCAAGGTCACTCTCCTTGACCCAGTGACGTTTCCCACAGAGGTCAAGGATAAGTGGTTAGGAAAGGATGCTTCCTTACCCAGTGCGTCCTATAGGAACACAGGTCAGGTGACAGGAAGCAAGCTGATGGTGCAGCACCTGCTGGGTCGAGTGTCCTTCATCACGACAATGGACTAATATAAAATAATATACCACATATTATTATATATAACCATAACATATGTGTGTATATTATATTATTATATATATATAATATACACACATATGTTATTATATATAACCATAATATATGTGTGTATATTATATTATTATATATATATATAATATACACACATATATTATTATATATAACCATAATATATGTGTGTATATTATATATATATATATTATAAATATAATATACACACATATATTATTATATATAATAAACACACATATATTATTATATATAACCATATGTGTGTATATTTTATATATATATATATAATATACACACATATATTATTATATATAATAAACACACATATATTATTATATATAACCATATGTGTGTATATTTTATATATATATATAATATACACACATATATTGTTATATATAACCATAATATATGTGTGTATATTATATTATTATATATATATAATATACACACATATATTATTATATATAACCATATGTGTGTATATTTTATGTATATATATATATATATAATATACACACACATATTATTATATATAACCATAATATATGTGTGTATATTATATTATTATATATATATAATATACACACATATGTTATTATATATAACCATAATATATGTGTGTATATTTTATGTATATATATATATATAATATACACACATATATTATTATATATAACCATAATATATGTGTGTATATTATATTATTATATATATATAATATACACACATATATTATTATATATAACCATAATATATGTGTGTGTATATAAACATAACCCTGAGGTGAGTCCAGCAGGGTAGAATCTGTTATAGAAGTAGACCTCATAGAACATGATGATGATGTTTAGACTGTTCGTGGTTTCACTCTCATGCTCGCGCGTGCACGCGGCTGGTCCACACGCGGTATTTATCAGCAGAGGTTTTGCACAAATCTCGCATGCAGATTGTGTTTAAGTGCATGTAGGCGGTTCCACTGTGCGTGCACGTGTCCGTGCGCGCGAGGCTCCCAGGCTCCGTGGGAAAGCTCCGGTCACAAGGCCGGTCTGGAGCCGACCCACGACCCCCTGCCGGACCCTCCCGCGGCCCCCCGCTGCCCGAGGACTCAAGTTAGGAAACGGATCCGAAAGTTCTACGTGGATTTTACAAAAACTCTTTGATCTCCTTCGATAATCATTCATATCGATCCACGCGTCCTCCCGGGCGCACGCGCCCCGCCGCCCGCGCGCCATGAAGCGGCCGCGCGAGGACCGCGCGCCGGGGACCGGTCCTCCAGGGTGAGTGCTTTTATTGTGAAAGGCATCAACATGATTTACTGCTATCATTCAAAAGTACTCACATCTCCCATCAATACAGAGAGGAAAAATGTATTCAAGTACACACTTTACCTTTTTAAAGTACTCGATGTGCACAACGGCTGCTTTCAAATGATTTATTATCTGTTTGAGTCGACGTGAAGAGAATCTTCATTTTGGATTATCGTTGTTCATCATTGTGGAGACAATTGTTAAAGAAAGTAAAAGTACCACAAGATTGAAGTACCAGTACGCCTTGCTGATATTAATACGCAGTGAAACAGTTCCAATACTTTTCTACCAATAGGAGTTTTTTTGTACTTATTATCAAAAGCAGAGTAGTTCTACTTTGCACTTTTATATATTTTACATAGAACAAATCGCACGCTTTGCCCAAAAGCACATTACAGTACAAGTAAAGTACACAAAGTATTAAATGTGTGTAGGAGGTCAGTGGATCGTACATCGACGTTATGAGTGTCTAAGGAGACACCAGGTCCTCGAGGGGACTCCTGGTCCAGTAGGATCCTCCTTCGGGACGAGAGGGATCAGAAGTTTGGTCTTCAAACACCAAAGACGCAAATCAATTCAAATGTGTTTTTATCAAATACATTTCTGAAGTGGATATTTTGGTTCAGGCACACAAAGGCGTCCTTCATAAGATGTGCATCGCCGCCCTCGACCCCTCAAGTGATGGCGAGGAAGAGGCGCCGAGGGGTGAGTCATCAGAACCTCAGTACGGTGGCCCGGAGGGGTCAAGACCCCAGATAGAGATCATACTAGTTAAAAAGGTCACGATTGAACTCAATAAATGCTCGTCTTCATGTAGTGATGGTGAAGTGTCCTGTTGATCGTATGAAGAGACATTAATAATATAATAATAAGATCTTCTCCTCTTCTGGCTCCACGAGGTCATCGAGAAGAGGCGCAGAGACCGGATCAACAGCAGCCTGCTGGAGCTCCGCGGCCTCGTCCCCCAGCAGGTCAGTGCGAGGCCTCAGCACCAGGGGTCCCAGGGACGTCTGCCCCCTCGGCCGAGTCCTCTGACATAACGGATGTGGACTAAGGAGCGATAAACTGTGAGACCCGTACTAGGGTCCCTTCAGAAGACAGTCTGCCTCCCAAGTCCTGGTTCTGGTTCTAGTGAGGAAAGCTCCCCTGCTGGAGGAGGAGGAGGAGGAGGAGGAGCACCTGACCCCTGAACCCGCTGTGTGTCTCTTAGCTCCTCCCACTTCAACGGTCTGTCTGTCTCTGCAGGGTTCGGCTAAACTGGAGAAGGCTGAGATCCTGCAGATGACTGTGGACCATCTGAAGGTGCTGCAGGCCACCGGAGGGAAAGGTACCAGGGGAGGAACCAGACCTCCTCACAGCTCCTTAAATGATCTCCAGGAGAACAACACGCCTTCTCCTCGGCGACAAACTCATTTCATCTGTGAAGTAACACGCAGTTACGCACATTGTCTTGATGTGTTATATTCTTACATTATGTAACGTTCAAACATTTACTTAAGTGTTCATTTGACGATGTGCTTAATTCATTTTATATCTATTTCATATTCACGTGAAAACAGCTGGATTTAAGTTTTCAAGCTTCAAATTCAGACAATTTGTCGTCGCCATCTTGTTTTTATCAAGCGGTCAACAGGAAGTGACCATATAAGGTCGTAGAGAAGCTGTGACAGCCCCCCCCCCTCCTGTCCAGCAGGTCACGTGGACGCCCGTCCTCTGGCCCTGGACTTCCTGTCTGTGGGGTTCAGGGAGTGCGTGACGGAGGTCTCCCGCTACCTGAGCGCCGTGGAGGGCGTGGCCTCGGGCGACCCTCTGCGCTGCCGCCTCATCTCCCATCTGGCCTACTGCTGCTCGCAGCGGGACGCCGCCGCACTCGCCATCGCCTCCCGTTTTCCACTTCAGCAGCACCACCCGCTGCCCCACCCCGTCCACCCCGTCCACTGGGCGTTTGGACCCCTACCGTCCTACACGCCGAGCGCTTCTCCCGTGTCCCCCGACTCCGGCGGGGGACGAGCCCCCCAGAGGCCGGGGGAGTTGGTACAGCGGGTGGCCTCCTCCTTCTCCACCCAAGCAGACTCCACCTCCTCACCTCCCTCGTCCCTCACGCTGCCATGCGCCCCTCTGTCAGCCCCCCTCCTCCACGGGGGTTACCCCATCATCCCTCCCTGCTCCTCCTCCTCCTCCTCCTCCTCCTCCTCTCTCAGCAGCAAACCCTTCAGACCGTGGGGAGCCGAGGTCGGAGCTTTCTGACGCCCTTTGACCTCCAGTCAAGTTTAAACTGCCTTTACATTTTTAATTTGTACCAATATTCTCTGAAGTGTTTCACAAAGTTCAACTGGTTCTTCTCTGAGATTTAAAACCTGTTTTCACTGGAAACTGTTGTGAAAGTAAGAAGCTGAACGAACAACGAGGAAGAAACTGAGTATTTAACGTTTGGTGTGTTCCATCTTTTTGTCTTCATCTCTTGTTCATTAATCCGCCACAGAAATTAGTCCCAACGTGAGCCACCCCCCCGTCCTCAGTGGGACCCGATGAGACAGACCCCAGAGACTGAAGAACCCCCTTTAAAACCTTTGGACAGGATCCCATGTCCAACCGGACGGAGGAGACCAGTACAAGTCCCCCTTTCTCCCTGGTTCTAACTGCTTCTTACTGGTTCTTATTGGTTCTAACTGTTTTTTAATGGTTCTTACTGGTTCTTATTGGTTCTAACTGGTTTTTAATGGTTCTTACTGGTTCTTATTGGTTCTAACTGTTTTTTAATGGTTCTTACTGGTTCTTATTGGTTCTAACAGGATTTTAATGGTTATTATTGGTTCTAACTGCTTCTTACTGGTTCTTATTGGTTCTAACTGGTTTTTAATGGTTCTTACTGGTTCTTATTGGTTCTAACTGGTTTTTAATGGTTATTATTGGTTCTAACTGCTTCTTACTGGTTCTTATTGGTTCTAACTGGTTTTTAATGGTTATTATTGGTTCTAGCTGGTTCTTACTGGTTCTAGCTGGTTCTTACTGGCTAAAGGGGGTCATGTTGGGACTCTGATCCCAATGAATATCTTCCCACGAATAAAAACCTCTTAACAATTCTACTGTTGTCATGGAAACGGCGCCGGTGGTCACATTTCAATGTACCTTTTGTGAGGGAAGTAGTTAGCTAGTATCTGGACAATGCTAAGCTACATACGCTACATTGCTACGTCACTTTGTTCCCTCGCCTTGGATGTATATTACATATTATATACCACAAGTTTGTGTGTGAGGGAAACTTAAAGCATCGCAATGCAATCTGGGAAATATCAGGAGTCACTCCAGAACAGCTAGAAAATCACACACGTGTTCAATCACATTTATCCAACACGTAAAGTTACCAGGACACGTGAAAGAAACTTGAATCAATAAAATATTCACAAATCTTTGTGACGTCATCGATGACGAGCGTTTTATTAATTCTGTCAGTAACCGACGATCCGCCGTTCGACTGAATGAAATATCTCCACTCAGCAGACGACACCGTCGAGAGGTCGTCACGGCAACAGGAGAGAGACCATGTTGTTGGGACTCAGGATCTCGATCCAGTAGCCGTCGGGATCCTGGATGAAGGCCAGGTCCTTCATCTTGCCTGTGAGGAAGCCAAGAAGATAAGTGAAGGCCCAGAACCTGCTGAGCCTCAGTGCCTCGGCTAGTGAAGAAACCCAGATACATCCGCCGCTTGAAATAGTCCTCCTCCACCTCGAGGGTAACCTCAGCGACTCACCGGCTGCGGGTTTCTTGAGGAACTTCACTCCTCGTCTCTCAAAGACTTTGCAGGCGGCGTAAACGTCAGGGACCGCGACACCGATGTGACCTTCAACGAGACGGAAAGGTCACTAGACACAGAATGAATAGTGGGGTCACAGGCAGAAAGGTACCCAGAAGAAATCTACAGGAAGTTCTCACCGAATCCTTTGGGCTGGTCGTTCCCGTTGTGGTACGAAAGACTTTCATCTGACTCCGAGCCCCAGTTACTGACCGGAGGAGAGAAGCATCCATTATTCATTCACTCAGACCCAGCAGGTCTCATCACTGGAGAGAAGAGGTTCAGGTTAGGGGGGGTCAAGGTTTGCCTCACATACTGTGTGAGCTCTATGGTGGCCCGGCGGGAGAAGGTCCAGGCCGTCCTCTCTTTGATGTCTGCCGGGACGTCCGACTTGTCCTCGTAACCCAGGAAGTACAGTGTGAAGCGCATCGAAGGGAAGTCGATCTTCTGCAGCAAGCTGGGGGGCCACATGAGGAGAACCGGTCAGAGGTCTGATGGTCCTCATTGATGTTCTCAGAGATGATGATCAACTCACGTCATGCCCAGAACTCCGGTGTAGAACTCCAGAGACCGGGCCGGGTCCTTGACCCTCAGCATGGTCTGCTGCAGCATGTAGTCCTGCTGGGACAGAAGGTCATCAAGCCCAAGAACCTTTACTACAGGGACAAGAAGTCACCGAGACCATGAACCTTTACCACAGGGACAAGAAGTCACCGAGACCATGAACCTTTACTACAGGGACAAGAAGTCACAGAGACCATGAACCTTTACTACAGGGACAAGAAGTCACCGAGACCATGAACCTTTACTACAGGGACAAGAAGTCACCGAGACCATGAACCTTTACTACAGGGACAAGAAGTCACCGAGACCATGAACCTTTACTACAGGGACAAGAAGTCACCGAGACCATGAACCTTTACTACAGGGACAAGAAGTCACCGAGACCATGAACCTTTACTACAGGGACAAGAAGTCACCGAGACCATGAACCTTTACTACAGGGACAAGAAGTCACCGAGACCATGACGCTTTACTACAAGAGGTCCGTTTTATTAATATGCAACAAAGAATCACTCAATAAAGAAAGTTAAATCTGATTTGGTCTGATTATTACTACAAAGCTCACAGGTTCAGGCCTGAGAGGGTTAACAGCTCCCAGGTAACATGAGGCCTGCAGGTGTGAAGGGACCAACCGGTCGGGCAGCATTGGAGTCCACACAGCTGGACGAAAGAGGATAATGGCAGACATGGATCCAGTAGAAACCAGTCAGACTGGACCCCCACCTGGGTGATGGGCTCTCCGTCTCTGCAAGCAGCCGCCACGGCTTCGTCCGTCAGTCCTTCTCCTCCTTCGTGCTCCATGGCTCTGAGCCCGCCGAGGAGCACCTTCCGGTTCTCCTTCTTCACGCCGCCTTCAGGTGCTGCTGGGACGTTAGAATACCACACCCGAATGGATTTGATCTATTTTTGATATTTAAACTTTTTATTTTAGCAGTTTGAGGCTCCACAATTAAATTGAATATTATTTTACTACCTGTTCTCATTAAAATGTCAGCATTTGATGATTATCATTATATCATCATTATGATCAATATTACAAAGAAATAAGCTTAGTTTGAATGAATTGTTTTTTGTTTAATTTTTAAATGTTTTTATAATGGTGGCTTTGCTCATTAGAACATGAGATAAAAGTCTTTGTGTTTGCATGTGTAATTATATACACACACACACACACACACACACAGACTTTCAATAAGTAAAACTTTACGTTCTGATTTGTGTGTTGAAACGAGGTAAAAGTTTTCATTCTAAAACTGAATGAATTTATGGCTGAATGAAAATAGCATGTATTGTCACTTGTAACCACATTAGGGTAAGAATATTTAATATTCAAGAGAAACTCATTTAAATGTTTATTGGCAGGAATGCTCAACATATTTGTTGATACAACTGAAAGTTGAATTTGAAGCCAGTTCAGACAGAACTTGAAGGCAGCACGGAGGGTCAGAAACCCCCCCCCCCCACCCCCCCGCAGGGTAAATGAACCGCTGCAGACTCCTCGTCTAATGTCGCCTCTCTGTCTGCGCGTGAAGCTCGTTGTTTGGAACCCGGATGGAATCTGTAGGCTGTCGGACGAGTGGGCGGAGCTACAGGTCTGAACAGGTAGAGCCATTTGCAGGGCGACGCCCCCACTGATCCTCGTGAGCTCAGGTGACTCGTGGTTGTCAGTCAGACAGAGTGTGACTCCCCCTGGTGGCCGCTTCGAGAACTACTTTCATTTGGCCAGAAGCAACAACATGAAATTGCTTTTCCTTTTCTAGAACGCAGCAAATACAACAAATATTAGACACAAGAGAAAACAATGTAATCGATTAAAACATGAAATAAAGAACGTTCAGATCAAATAACTTTAATAAATTCCATCTCCTCTATTTAAGCACATCTCATTTTTGTCCATCAACTCTCAGACAATCTGAAAGCCAGCAAAAAAAACAGCTGAATAACAATTGCATGTTTTTTAATTGAATGACTGACACGGTTAAGCCCCGCCTCCCGCTCATCTCTTCGCTGCCTTGCGGTTCTCCAGAAGAAGAACCATCATGCGGCTCTTGAGTGAGGGCAGCTTGGCGCCGTAGTTCTCCTGCAGCGCCGAGGCCAGCGAGCGCCGGAGGCCCCCCAGGCTCAGCGGGAGGGCGCCATGCGGCACGTTGAGCAGGGCGTGGAAGAAGTCCTGCCACAGGTCAGCGTGGGGCTTCCTGCAGGTGGATCAGTTGTCATGACAACCCTCATCACTTCAGGGGTTTCAACGTCGCCATCCCATTAGCTAGCTCGCTAATTCCGGTGGTCAGCTTTCACGGAACACAGAGACAGTAACACGCCGCATGCACGGCTGGACTACGCTGCTTTAGCGAGAGGCCCCTTCAGCTAGCTTATGCCGAGTTAGCTCGGCGGCTGATTGCTAAGGTGCTAATTTCTTCTCTGCGTTGACAAAATACGGTGCAAACATTTGTGACCGTGAGTTGACACGCGAGGCTGTGAAATGTGTTTGTGCTAACGATTAGCATCAGCACTGGAGTTTAGTTGCTCTTTAAGCTCAAGGACTCAAACTACCAACCCCGGATAAGCGAATCAAATGGATGCAACCACGTCTGCTGGCGTTCCCTTTTCTCAAAGGATCATATGATATAAATATTGAATAAGTCTGTAAGTACTCGACCATAAAGAACAACGTGAACGTACCTCCTGAAGACGCCGTTGGTCCTCCACACGCCGCCCTCAGTGGTGACCTGCATGTACGACCCGAACAGCATGCAGTACACGGTCGCCGCTATCCCAAAATAATCCGTCTACACACACACACACACACACACACACACACACACACACACACACACACACACACACACACACACACACACACACACACACACACACACACACACACACACACACACACACACGATGACCTGGGGTGCTCTGTACATACATCATAGTCCACATCAACGGGTCGGTCCTCACCTGGTAGCTCCAGGGCTTCCCGCTGAGCATCTCGGTGCACTGGAAGCCTGACGTCAGGCACCTGGCGGTGAAAGCAGTGCCTTCTGGGAAAAGCTCCATGTCAATGCTCTGGCCGAGGTCGATGAGGTGCAGACCGTGGTCCACGTTCTCCGGCTCAAAGCACCTGTTGTCGAGGAACCTGTGGACACAAGGGGCAGCGATGAAGACGACGGCCCCAGCGGCTTCAGGTGGTTCTGCGGTGGTTGCCGACGGTTACCGCTCTCCAAGCAGCAGGTTGTCAGGTTTGATGTCGCCGTGGATGATGTGGACGGCGTGCAGCTGCTCCACCATGTGCAGGATGCAGACGGTGAAGTACATGACGAGGGGCGGCGGCATGGCCTTTTCGCTCAGCGTCTTGTACATGTTCACCACGTTCTGACGGGCGGAACAAAAAGAGAGAACGTCAGAGACGCATCCCAACCCGCTGAGAAGATGGCGGCGGCGCCCGACGTACCAGCAGGGTGCCGTGACCGTGGAGCTCGCCCTGCAGCACGCTGCCATTGAGGAAGAAGTGGGCGGAGCGGATGGTGCTGAACAGGTGACGGACATCCGGCCGCAGGCGAGCGTCCAGCTGCGTGGTCACGTAAAACTCCCAGGGATTGGCCGGCTTCTGGACCTGAAGCCACGGTAACAGGGAGAGGGAGGGGCTCAGATCGCGTTCCAGGGATTGTGTTTTCACAGATTTAAAGCAAATCATTCAAACTACCCTTTACAGATTACACCTGAACACATCACAATGTTCTCATGTTCACCGAGCAGAGCCTGAACGCATCGCAGTGTAACTGAAGCGAACCGCCACTGAGCGGCCGTTAGCCGTGCTGCTAACGCTACTAGCTCCTCCTGCTGTTGTTTTAAACACCGATTGGTTGTTTACGATGTCACATGATCAGACGAGAGAAGCATCTCTGATTACAGAATGTTGGAGGGGAAAACATCATATTAACAATGGACCGATCAGGGATCAATAACGGTTGGTTACATCATGCAGTTGGAGGAGAGTAGACCTCACCTTGAGCACCGTCCGGTTGGAGGTCACGGGGTCGGTCGCCTGGTAAACTGTAGCGAACGCTCCTTTTCCGAGGACGCAGTCGACTCGCAGTGACGCGTTTCCTGTCGTGAAGAATTGGAAACGATTGCAGTGTTAACGAGGGAGAGTTAAAGGGTCTTTATGCTAAGCTAGGCTAACACCCTCCCGACCCTCACCGATGCTGATGCTGGTCTTGGGGGCGATGTTGGGGACTTTGCACTGCCAGCGGATGCAGTGGGGGTGTGTGTCGAGAGGCGGAGTCAGGGACGCCATCAGACGGGCCATCAGCTCCTCGTCCCAGGGGTCCGACACCAGATGGACCGCAGCCGCCCCCCCAGCCGTGTCCATGGGCACGTCGGCAGCGCCCGGACTGTTCATGAGTTCGTCCTCGATGGCGAACTGCGGGTGCGCCGGGCTCATGGGCACGTCGGCACAGAGCTGCGTCTGGAGGCGGGGCCTTGGGGAGGAGTCCCGGTCTGGCTCGGCCCGGCGCTCGGGGCTCCAGACGAAGCCCTCTGGGCTCATGGGGACGTTGCCGGCGTCGCCCCCCCGCGCCCTTGCAGGACTGACCGGTTTGTCCGAGTCCTCCATGACAGTGAATGGCTCCGCCCCCAGCTGCTGGGGGGGAGGAGCGGCCTGCTCGGGGCTCGTGTACACGTCCCAGCCGGCGGCCGAGGAGGAGTCAACGGGACACAGGGTCTGGTCCCTGAAGGACAGCACGGCGGGAGGCGGCGGCTGCACCATGGAGATGGAAGAGGAGGCGCAGTGGGGTGGCGGGGTGAGGCCTTCGCCGACAATGGTGCCGTGTGCAGCGGAGGAGGAAGGGGGGGGCGGACCGAAGGCCACGTCGCTGGAGGGACTCTGCTCCATGATGGGGCTGAAACCACACGATGACATCATCACACGGCGCCATCTTCATCCACCCCCATAAAATACTCCCATCATGCTCCTTGTTTTATTCAAAACCCAAAGACCAGAAACACGGACGCCGACGTTCAAGTAAAAATAAGTCAAATGTATTTCTTATCCAAACTGGCGCCTGTGAGTTTAACCTTTGACCTTTAGACCCAGGAACAGCTCACCTGAGTTTCTTTGGCTGCCGTCTGGTGAAAGCTTCGTCCTCCCCGTCTCCACAAACGTTCTCTGCAGGACAGAAACATCTGGATCAGACGTGATCCTCATGGTTCAATAATATAAAATGAAAAAGAATATAAAAACAATGTATTATTTACTATGACGTAGATTTACAACGGCGCCGTTTTTTAAAAACATCTCAGCTAAAAACTCTGGATCATTATAAACAAAGTGACGTGTGAAGACCATATGCATGAACTATGAACAATGTCGTGGGGTAGAGAGGGTGCGCTGGGAACCGCAAGGTTGGTGGTTCGAGTCCCGGCTGCCCCATGTCCCATGTCGAAGTGTCCCTGAGCAAGACGCCTGACCCCTAATTGCTCCCCGCTTTGGATAAAAAGGGTCGGCTAAATGAGCTGTAATGTAACTAGATTTGTATTTGATGCGAGGAAGAGAGGACGGCGTGTGCTCACCCTGCTCCCCCTCACAGAAGGAGAAGGAGGCCTTGTGGGTGGAGGGGGTGGAGACAAACCGGGCGAGCATGTTGAAGTCGTCGGTGGTGTTGGGGCACGCTGCCAGCGAGCAGAGGGAGTTGTAGCGAGCGCCCCACATGGTGCTCTCATCGGGGGGGGGCTCCGGGGGCTCCTGAGTAAACAGCATGTTCAGAGAATGTGTGTTCACATTATCAGAGACGGTCTGTCGTCCATGTGCACCATGAATGAACACCAGAATAAAGGACGTGCGGCGTCCCGTCTTCGTACTCACGCTGGGTCTGGTGGGGGCGGGGATCTCCAGCAGAGCTCTGATTGGCTTAGACTTCTCCGGCGGCGCGGCCCTGAAGGGACAAAATAACAGGAACGCTCAGGGCTCATCTCGCCTCACCGACGTAAACGGGGCACTCGTCTCGCTTACCCGCCGCTGTCCTCGTCCTGAAAAACCATGAACGGAGCCGCTGGGACGCCTGTGTCCGAGACAAGATGATGTCACAATGATGTCATCATACAACGGGATGAAGTCAAAAGAAAGAACGGCTGAATGTGTCTTTGTCTCTGGATGAGTGAGTGAGAGCGACTCCCTGTGCTCACATTATTACAACATTCAAATGTTCAAACGTGGCAGCTTTGTTAGTTAATCTGGATGTTCACTTTGCATCGTGCTCAACACGGCTGCGGGATTAGAAATTAGGTAAATAAAGAATCAATAATGACATTTGAATAAAATAAATAAATCCTTTGACGGGACATAAAAATCCACAGCAGTTAAACTTGTTTCTGCTTCAGAACAAGCTCCTAATTGAGAAACGCGACTAAAATAAAACTTTTGGTCACCGTCGCCATGGTGACCGGGATCAAACTCCCGCCCGGCGGTCCGGGGTGGCGCCGCGCCGCCGGGCGGGTCCTCCAGGAGCGTGGACGCCTGGAACATGTCCATGATCACACCTGGGTCCACAGCAGCAAACAGGAAGTCAGTTAACACACACACACACACACACACACACACACACACACACACACACACACACACACACACACACACACACACAAACTGTCCGTCAGAAAACTCTCATTATCACTGAATGTTCTACTGTTACAGTAATAAAAAAGAATAAGGAAACTAAACGTTGTATTTGTATTGTCCTTATGAATTTTAGTGATGCAGTTGGTAACTTCTCTAATAATAATAATAATAATGTGAAAACATCAGGATGTTAGCACTGCTGCTAACGCTACTAGCTCTCCTCCTGTTGATCTCAACACTGGACGGACACTAATACAAGCCGCCGTCTCACCCAGAGCCTCTCGCGTGTTGACGGTGGGAGACGGCAGCACTCTGGAGGGCGTGGCCTGAACGAAGCCCAGCGAGGTGTTGGGAGTGATGTGAGACAGGTTGGCCGTCCCGCCCTGCGACACTGAGACAGGGAGCCAGAGGGTGAGGGGAGAGAGACGGAGGACGAGAGACAGAGACAGAGGAAGACAGCTTCCCCTCCTCACCGTTAAGCTTCTCCTCCTGGACGGCGTCCCTGAGAAAGATTCCATATATATATATATATCATATAGAGATTGACATGTACCAGTGAACAATAGAGAGACACCAAAATGAGTGCAGACGTTTAGTGTTGAAGCTCTAAAAGGGGTATATAAGGATATATTTCAGAGTGAAATAAAACCTGGGACAGGTCCCCTAAATGGCATTCTCCTTTTACTGTATTAATGCGTCCCAGGAGAGGAAGGAGACGTTGTAAAATCGATCCGTGTGTGTGGCGTTACCGGAGTTCAGCGAGGACGGTGTCGGCCGGCTGGGCTCGGTTCTCCACAGCTTTCTTATAGACGGCCTCGGCCTGCTCATTCATCCCTCGGTGCTCGAACTGTCGGGCCCAGGCCACGTACAGGGCGGCGGTGGTGGTACCGACGCCCTTGCTGTACACGTGACTGAACAGAGCGACGGGGTCGGGGGAGAAGCCCGCCTGTGGGACGGATGGATGAAGTCATTTATTGGCCTGCAGCGGACCGACCCGGACCCGGGACGCTGTGGAACATTCCAGACAGACTTACACATCTAATGCAGCAGTTCACGTATCGGAGGTCGTTGGCATATTGCTTGACGTTTAAAAACCTCCGAACCAGAGAGTCAAACACCAGCGCCATCCCGCCGAGGCCGTCTGCAGGGAGGCTCTGCTCCAGGTACTCCACAAACCTGGGAGAGGTTTGCAGCACAGACACAGGAACAACAGAATAATGTTGGTATATAAGAGAGGAGAACGGCCCCTGTGTGTCATCGACTTGCAGAGATGAGACGTTGAATTTGTTAATAAAGAGAAACAATCAGAAAATTGAATATAAACAAATAAATAAAACCATATGGTGTATATTATGGTAAGGGTGAAGTTATTTGAATCATTTCTGTCATAGGAGTTGGATGTACTGTACATCTTTACGTTGTTCATTCTCTACACCCCTACTTGCTGTTTTCTCCTCAGGTTTCTCCCGGGTGAAGGTTTTTTACATTTTGGGGATTTGGGGACAGGGTGTTGCATGTTTACAGATTGGAAGGGCTGAACAGAATAAAACTATTTGAATTGAATAAACACGTTGACCAGAGGAATCTGCTCTCTGCACTCTGACTCCCGTTACACAAGAATCATCAAGTGAGGATGAGGGAGACGCAGCTGATTTCAGGTATACTATCCCAACTCAAGTGACTCAGACCCACATCGTGTTACAGAATCTATAATGAAGTTCCAATGGTTCAGAAAAATGTGCTACAAACACAAAACAGAAATGTTGTTTCTGCACTTTTAATTCCATAGTTTATTTCCCTGAAATATATATTTGATTTTTGTATTGTTTTTAATTAGGAAAAGTGTTATATGTATAGTGTTATATTTATAATAAATACAAGTTAATAAAATAATGTGTTTGTCCTTGTTAAGGGATGTTAACATGACAACTGTGACTAAGTATGTAACTTGTAAGTTTCCAGGGGGCAATTTATCCGTTGAAACAACGTTTAAAAGACGTGCAAGTTGGTTCAAAAGTGAAAGACGTACGTGAAGACGTTCACGTATAGACCCGTTTTCAACATGATTTATAATACCGGTGGTAAAGTTACAAACGTGGACGTAGTTTATTTTTAAACCTCCAAAATAATGATATAGCACACAAGAGAGGACGAAATATTACCGTATAAAAAATCATGTTGAAATGTGGTCTAAACATAGACGACATTAGAGCTAGCTAGCGAATGCCAACTGTAAACATGAGAGCTAGCTAGCGAATGCCAACTGTAAACATGAGAGCTAGCTAGCGAATGCCAACTGTAAACATGAGAGCTAGCTAGCGAATGCTACATGCACTTTGACCACATGTACTCACTTGTCCCACTTGTCCAGAGGGTCGTCTCCGGTGTAGGAGCTCATTCTGTCCTCAAACCGCCTGAATTCACACAATTAAAAGGAGTTATGTCGTAAATAAATACGTTACATTCCGCATTAGCAACGCGACTAGCATGAAGCTAACACTTCATTACACTTCATTTCACTTCATAACACGGGGACCGTTAACTACTACTAGAACAGCTCGCTCGCGCTGACTTACTGTAAATAAGTAGCGATATCCATTTCTCTTGTGTTTCTCTTGCAAACGTTCCTTTAAACGTTCCGCGAATTTAAATTTCGCGCTCAGCCCAATAGCAACACGGGCCTGTGACGTAGGTTGGACAAACCACGCCCCTAGAGTGTGATCAAGTTCCGGTTTAAAAACGAAAATAATATAACGAAGATACAAAAAATCCAAACAATTTAAAACTGTTTTTTAAATTTAAAAAAAATAGGCAATGACATTAAATTATGTTTTCGTGAGGCAACATATTTGTCCGTGTTCTTTTGGCGTGGTTCTTGTGTCAGCTGATCATAACACGGAAGTGGATGATTTTCGACGTCATCAGGCGGCTGTGTGCGGAGACGAAGAGCTGCTTTTAACGACTTCTTCTCCGGATCTATGAATCGTTATCGGCTGGTTTTAACGTTTCGACGTCCCACTGCAGTGTGGAAGTGTTCGTCTGTCATCTGTGAGTTCTGTCGGTTGATCAGGAGCTCCGGCGGTTTTGTATCATTTAGTAAATCCACGAACATCATGAAGAGCAATAGGTTCATCGTAACCCCATTTATAAACATGCCACATGTTGTAGAAATACTCTACCTACCCATACTATTATATCATATTGCATTGGCTTATGTTTCAGTAATTATCTGAATCTGAACAAATGCATTTCATCATACAGCTCTACAACTCTTAAAAAGTATAACTCTCAGCTCAAAAGCCATTGGTGACTTAGCCAAGAAACACAAGAAGGAGGAAATAATAAATTTGATGGATTTCTGAGGAGAAATGCTAGTTTAGAGTATTCAGCTTTAAGACAAGTGCTTAAACTCTTTTTCAAACTGGAAATTAATTGTATTTCAATCCGCATTGTTGGACATTTTATAGTTTGACGAGTTCCTCGACTTTCTCTCCTGTGTTCGTTTGGAGGATGGAGAAGGTGTTTCGCTGTCCCGGTCGCCATGGCTACGCTGTGGAAGTGTCTCCGTTCATCCCTCACCGCGTGGCCTGCGCCGCCTCCCAGCACTACGGCATCGCAGGTCAACACCCAATATCTGCTTATCTCTGCTTCCCTCGAACAGTCACAGCGAACTGGGAATCAAACTCCCAGTCGGAGGAAGTTTGGAGGAAGCTTCTCAAAGCAGGTTCCATCCTCATCATCTAACTGACTGCATGTGTCTGCAGGCTGTGGCGCTCTGCTGGTGCTGGATGAGACGGAGTCGGGGGTCGCTGTGGTGCAAAGGTACCCTCAGGTCCATCTCTCTCCGACCTCTGAGTCCTTATGTCTTTTAGCTAGCGTTGTTCCGACACTGATACGAGGAGCAGAAGGTCCTCCGACGCGGCCTCCCGTCCTGGATCGGGTCTCTGCGAGCTAAACCATCCAACTGCTCACGCTGGCTCCTCAGCAGCTTCCATCGCCAGCTCACTCCTCGAGATGGAAGCCGCTGAGGAGCCAGCGGCCGTGTGGAGCTTTAGCATCTGGCCGGGGACAGCAGATGGAAATTAGCCTCTCTGGCTGACTCTGACTCACTTACAGTGCACCTGTAGAATGGTGACCATTGTCCCTGCAAAACAAATACATAAGTAAAGATGATTTCTATAGTTTTGTACTGGTGTCCACCAATGCACAGGTCAGGGGAACGCAGATCGAAGTTCTAAAGGGCTGCTGGGTAGATGTGTTTTTGTAGTCAGGAAGTCACTGGTTTCCTCCAATCAGATTCCTTTATTTCAGTTTGGATTATTACAGAAAATGATCCTCTTGGCTAATGAACTTGATGAGGTGTAAGAATACTGGGTGGTCGTTCCTCCAGCATTATGTTGAATCTTTGTCTTCTTCTTCCTGCCCTGAGGCCTCATTTACTCTTTCACACACGTGTAGATTGATCACCTGAACACGCTGGTTGCTTCAGGACCGCAGGCTGCACAGGTGATGACTCCAGTCTGTGCGTGTGTGTGTGTGTGTTTGTTAGCTGGCAGTGGGCCGACGGGCTTTTTGACGTGACATGGAGCGAAGCCAACGAGCACGTCGTGGTCGCCGGGGGCGGGGACGGCAGCCTGCAGCTGTGGGACACGGCCAATCGCGGCGCTCCGCTGCGAGTGGCCAAGGAGCACACGCAGGAGGTGAGTCGACTGCAGAGGGGCGGGTTACTGTGTGTGTCTGTGAGTGACCTTGTGTGTGTGTGTGTAAAGGTGTATTCTGTGGACTGGAGTCAAACCCGAGGGGAGAACCTGGTCGTCTCCGGGTCGTGGGATCAAACAGCCAAAGTGGTGAGTTCGACGTTATGCACCAACCGCCATGTCAAATTCCTTGTCTGTCTAACATATTTTGGCAATAAATGTTCCTGATTCGTCTTCTGTATTTATGGACTTTTTTTCTGCCTTTCCTCCTGACGGCGTTGTGGGGTTTTTATTTTGTTATTTCCTGCAGTGGGACCCGTCTCTCAGCCATTCGCTGACCACGCTGAGGGGCCACGAAGGGGTCATCTACAGCACCGTCTGGTCGCCTCACATCCCAGGATGCTTTGCTTCAGCCTCAGGTGGGACCGCACGCAACACAAGCCGTATGGATCTGTCTTTTAGGGAAGAGAAGAAAGGAGGCAAGAGGCCAGAGACAACCTCTGCTTCTTTAAAGTGAAGCATTCAAGCTGCATTCTGTGCAGTGACCAGCAGGGGGCGACTCCTCTGCTCCCATAGACGTCTATGAGGAAATGACTCTACTTCTCTGTAGTGACCAGCAGGGGGCGACTCCTCTGCTCCCATAGACGTCTATGAGGAAATGACTCTACTTCTCTGTAGTGACCAGCAGGGGGCGACTCCTCTGCTCCCATAGACGTCTATGAGGAAATGACTCTACTTCTCTCTTGATTTATTCCCTCAGTAAACATTGTGAACATGAGTTTATGTCTCAGTCTCTAGTTTCAAGTCTTCTTCAACACAACATGATGTTCATTTAGTACTTTTTGGTCCATTTAGAGTCAAATAGACCATAAAGCTGGGGATTTGGGGCGGGGCTACACATAGATTGACAGGTCAGAGACGTATACGTCCTCTCTACGTCCTCCTCAACCTTATATGGTCACTTCCGGTTCACTGGCTGACTTTAAACATGTACTCAAGCCAAACGGAAAAAACTTTCATTCATTAGTTTCACTAAACTAAATTAAATTAACAATTTTTACCTAAGCATATATGTCAGCTTATAAAAATGATGTGTAAAATAAATAATCGGGACACTTTGAGACAATCAAATCAAAGTCAAAATACAAAGTGGGGAGCACTCAGGGGGAGCAGTGGCGTGGTTCGGCCCCCGGGGGGCGCTGCAGCTGCTTTCTGTTGGTCTGGTGTGCAGCTCCAGATGTGAACGAGGCTCTTGCAGAGCTCGTGCCTCCTATGAGTCACTCGGTTATTTGGTTCCTTTCCTTTTAATGTTTTAATGTTTCCTTTCTGCAGTAGCAGGGAAACGGGCCGTTTCAGAGATGAAGCAGGAAACATCGGATCACCTATTAGGTCTGTTGTGTTGTTTTTGAATGTTCATTTAAAGCTTGTGTCACAAGTCTGTGCTGCAAGGATCCAAACTCTGTATCTGGTTTATTGGTTCATTTCCATTGGAAGTCTCTTTATTATCCAGGAGGCGCTATTTGGGCTCTAATGTTACCTCATAGTAACCATGACGACTGAGCCTGGCTCCGGACAAGAGCAAGTCAATCAGTGTGGACCAGTGGGAGGGCACCAACCTTATCAGGGGGCGGAGCCACGGCATTGACGCTACCAACCAGCTGGCGAACACGTTTGTGTTGGTTTCTGGGAGCAGGCGGCAATCAAAAGACGTGGAGGGGGGTTCAACCACGTGACCTTCATAAGGTTTAAAACCTTTTGAAAGGTCTCATTTAACCGTCCTCATGAACTGGAACTCAATCAAGTTGGAAGATGAACAAACTCACTAAACCCAAAATGTAACAGAAAACAGACTCAGTCCAAACCAACTGCATACAACTAGCACACTAACACGTGTTCAGGAAACTGAGCAGGTAGATGGAGATCGTCTGTGATCTGAACCTCTGAATCCGGAGGTCAAGTGTTATTTGTTGGATCAGATAAATCCTCCAGTGGAGCTCTGGAGCTGCTGCTAAATGATTTACCTCCACAATAAAACCATTACTGAGGACCGGCTGACCTGATGGTCCACACACAGATAGGACGTTATGGTCCTTCCATGTTGACACGTTGTTGAATACATGAAAAGAGAAGGACTTCTATGGGACCAGAGGAGTCGCCCCCCGCTGGTCACTACAGAGAATGCAGCTTTAACTCAAGAATCGGACTAAAGGTCCTCTGCTCAGTAATGATCTCTGATGATCTCAACGTGACTGATCCGGGGTCAGAATGAGAGCTGCTTGCTTCTGCTCTCTTAGTAGAGATGCAACAAATGAACATACATAGGTATATGTGTGTGTGTGTGTGTGTGTGTGTGTGTGTGTGTGTGTGTGCATATAAAATCAAACGTCATATCATCACGTCTTGATTACAATGAAATTTAATTTGTAAAAATAATATGATTGTCCAGTTTCATGTGTGACTAATGTGTGATTCTCCACTGGCTGTTTGTTCAGTGTGTTTATTCCAGATATTAAAGTACACACACACATTCATTATGTGTGTTTGTTCAATGATATCAGGTAGTGTCTGGTTAAATAATTGATAGCAGGCAGACACACGCACACACACATGCGTGTGTGAGAGACAGAAAGTGTTCTGGTTGGAAACAGACAAAGTTAAATTGAATTAACGAACGCTAAGCGCTGAAGTCGATAAACGATCTGGTGGTGGTTTGCAGCTCCAGCAAACATCACATCGTAAAAGAGACCATGAACTCACGTTTACAATGTTTACTGAGGGAATAAATCCAGAGTCATTTCCTCATAGACGTCTATGGGAGCAGAGGAGTCGCCCCCTGCTGGTCACAACAGAGAAGTAGAGTCATTTCCTCATAGACGTCTATGGGAGCAGAGGAGTCGCCCCCTGCTGGTCACTACAGAGAAGTAGAGTCATTTCCTCATAGACGTCTATGGGAGCAGAGGAGTCGCCCCCTGCTGGTCACTACAGAGAAGTAGAGTCATTTCCTCATAGACGTCTATGGGAGCAGAGGAGTCGCCCCCTGCTGGTCACTACAGAGAAGTAGAGTCATTTCCTCATAGACGTCTATGGGAGCAGAGGAGTCGCCCCCTGCTGGTCACTACAGAGAAGTAGAGTCATTTCCTCATAGACGTCTATGGGAGCAGAGGAGTCGCCCCCTGCTGGTCACTACAGAGAAGTAGAGTCATTTCCTCATAGACGTCTATGGGAGCAGAGGAGTCGCCCCCTGCTGGTCACTACAGAGAAGTAGAGTCATTTCCTCATAGACGTCTATGGGAGCAGAGGAGTCGCCCCCTGCTGGTCACTACAGAGAAGTAGAGTCATTTCCTCATAGACGTCTATGGGAGCAGAGGAGTCGCCCCCTGCTGGTCACTACAGAGAAGTAGAGTCATTTCCTCATAGACGTCTATGGGAGCAGAGGAGTCGCCCCCTGCTGGTCACTACAGAGAAGTAGAGTCATTTCCTCATAGACGTCTATGGGAGCAGAGGAGTCGCCCCCTGCTGGTCACTACAGAGAAGTAGAGTCATTTCCTCATAGACGTCTATGGGAGCAGAGGAGTCGCCCCCTGCTGGTCACTGCACAGAATGCAGCTTTCTGACACAAGGACCATGTTTCCAAGTACATTAAGTATCAGACCTTCTGTCATTAAAGAGTGCTGTGCTGAGAGAGACGTTTTGAGTTGTGAAACACTGCTAGCTAGCATTAGCGCGCGCTGGAGAGGTTCTCACCTCTAGCTGGATCTTCAAGCATCCAATCCTGCTTCACCACACTGATGGCTGCTGATGTTTGAAGGTCATCTTCTGGGGGAGGGGAGGGAGGTGAGAGTACTGGAACCACTCGGATGAGACCGTCACCTTGGTTCGTATTTTGAGGCACATTAGTGGAGAGGTGGACGCAGTCACGTGACCTCCACAAGGCACATACATGTTCCTGATGGTGTGTGTATCCTGTAGAACATTAGAGGTGGACTTCCTTAAAGGGCTCTCACTCTTTTACCTACTTGGTAAATACGGGACTTTGCTGTATCAGCATCCCCCCCCCCCTCCCACACTGTCTACTGGGCATGTTTTCCACTTGACTTTTACACCACTGCGGCTGAGAGGTGGAGAGAGGAAGAGAGGAGAGGAAGTGAAGCGTGGAAGCGGCGATGGAGGAATCGATAGCGAGCGGTCGCTCTGCTGGAGGAGGTGTTGGTGTTTCCATCTATTGCTGCGATTAACAATGAGGAGGAGGAGGAGGAGGAGGAAGAGGAAGAGTGGTCAGTAAACACCAGGTGAAGCCAAGAAGAGAGTTTAAAACAATCTGGATTTATTGTGAGCTGTGAATTCAAACCCATGACCCTGTTTCCACGATTCATCGATATTAGTGTTGTTGAATCTGAGTCCGCTTAAAACCTTCCTTCCTCCTCGTTCTCTGGACCACTGAAGCATAAATCCCTCTATTTCCCTGAGGGAGAACAAGGAGGTGGAGCTGCCAGGTTCTTCATGTGCGACACATCAGGATGTTCCAGCTGTAATAACACACAATAAGCTGAAATAGTGAGACATCGAGACTCCATCTTTGAAGCTGGTCATCATCCAACACGCATCGCTGAGATGAAGCCATGATGGAGCCATCAGGGGCAAGCAACCGGGGGTGAGCAGGAGGGGGAAGAGGAGGAAGGAGGAGGAGGAGGAGACTGCAGACCACCACGGGCCTTCAGGGTTGCTACAAAGCACCGTGCGGCAGAACCAACGAAACCACCAAACACAAGAACAGATTCTTCTTTCCTGCCGTGCAGATTGTGTATATAAATATGTCTCTCTCTCTTTCGCTGTCAGGCGACGGGACCCTCAGAATTTGGGACGTGAAGAGCGCCGCGTGTCGATTGGCCGTCCCAGCGCACAGGGCCGAGATTCTGAGCTGCGATTGGTGCAAATATGACCAGGTGACCGGACAGATGTGGTCGATGTTAGAACCTTATCTAGTTGTCAGGAGGAGACGGTGGTTTGTTGGACCCCCCCTGCGGCCCCTCGTGTGGCCTTCAGGGCCTCTTCACTTCCTCGTTCACAACCACGTGGAAACTATCAATAGACAAACTGTTATGAGGTCACCTTCCGGGTTTTCATTCCAAATTTGGGCCGAACAAGCCCCATTAGCAGAGAACCTTAATTAGCGTTAGCACACTGATGCTAAGCTAGACTGCTGAAGCTACGCCGAGAGATTTTAATTATGTTGATGTGAGGGGTTCCCTTTTAGTCTTTGATATAATAAAATATGTGATGAGAGTTGTAGGGTTGACAGATTGGGGGCGGGGCTTATTGATGCCTTAAATACACAAATGTGACTTGTTGTGTTTCTGCAGAACATCGTGGCCACCGGCTCAGTGGACTGCAGCGTGTGTGTGTGGGACCTGAGGAACGTGAAGCAGCCAATCAGCACGCTGCTCGGCCACGCCTACGCCGTCAGGAGAGTCAAGGTACACACAGGTACACACACAGAGACATGCAGGGACACACAGGTACACACACAGAGACACACACACACAGAGACATGCAGAGACACACAGGTACACACACAGAGACACGCACAGACAGAGACATGCAGAGACACACACACACACAGACATGCAGAGACACACATACACACAGAGACACACATACAGACACAGAGATACACAGAGATATACAGAGACACACACAGCCGATGACAGCATCAAACAGCCACTTGAATGGACTTAATAAGACCACACACACACACACACACTACTGTGTGTGTGTGTGTGTGGTAAAAGGCAGCTGCAGAGGAGTTCCCAAACACTTCCCACTTACTCAGATTAGATGCTTGTCCCTTCACACACATGCTGACGCGACAAAGGAACACACACACACACACTCTCACACACACGCACACACACACACACACTTTCGCCTGAATAAGCTGCTGTCGGCTCAAGATGTGTTTTTCAGTAAAGGTGTTGGTAATCGATCCAGCCTTTGTGTGTGTGTATGTGCTTGTGTGTGTGTGTGTGTGTGTGTCTGCTGCTATTGATCCACTGGACAAAGCAGAAAGGAAGTGAAAGGCTTCATGATCAGTTATTAGTACTCACTTACTCCTCGGAGGCCGTTCTGTGGATGCAGATACTACTGATGATATCTGGTCTCCTCCTGCAGTTCTCTCCGTTCAGTGAGGCCACGTTGGCGTCCTGCTCCTACGACTTCACCGTCAGGTGAGATCATCTTTCATCGCTGTGAGCCGTCATGTCGTCTGTCAAAGTACTCAAAGAGCAGGTGTCACGCACGTGTCATGTGACAATAACGGGATATATGGAGATGAACGAGGTGTTTGCTCCCACTAATTAATAGTAAACACGAGGGAGGAAGCTGGAAACGCAGGAGAATGATTCGTGTGCTACGTATTGCTTGATTGGAGGTTAATAATAAATGATGCTGTCCGAACAGGAAAATCCCAGACCGGACGAAGCGCGTCGAGACCTGTCAATCATTGTGTAGCCCCGCCCTAAAGCTTCTCCTGCTTTATGGTCTGTTTGACTCCTAGAAACTAGAGACTGAGACCATAAACTCATGTTTATAATGTTTACTGAGGGAATACATCAAGAGAGAAGTAGAGTCATTTCCTCATAGACGTCTATGGGAGCAGAGGAGTCGCCCCCTGCTGGTCACTACAGAGAAGTAGAGTCATTTCCTCATAGACGTCTATGGGAGCAGAGGAGTCGCCCCCTGCTGGTCACTACAGAGAAGTAGAGTCATTTCCTCATAGACGTCTATGGGAGCAGAGGAGTCGCCCCCTGCTGGTCACTACAGAGAAGTAGAGTCATTTCCTCATAGACGTCTATGGGAGCAGAGGAGTCGCCCCCTGCTGGTCACTACAGAGAAGTAGAGTCATTTCCTCATAGACGTCTATGGGAGCAGAGGAGTCGCCCCCTGCTGGTCACTACAGAGAAGTAGAGTCATTTCCTCATAGACGTCTATGGGAGCAGAGGAGTCGCCCCCTGCTGGTCACTACAGAGAAGTAGAGTCATTTCCTCATAGACGTCTATGGGAGCAGAGGAGTCGCCCCCTGCTGGTCACTACAGAGGATGCAAGTTGTTTTTACTTCTGAAATATAGAGTTTGCATTCTGGGTCAAACGGACACATTTGAATATGTGAAAGCTTCTTCTGGAGGTTAAACAGGAGCAGCGGTGGAAGCGTGTTTCTGCTGACGCTGCGTTTCTTTCCATCATCCTGCTGAGGGGACACTGTGCTAACGTGAGATAAAGATACAGAAGAGCTAATAACATCGCGTATGAGAACATGCTGCTTCGTTCTGCAGAGAGGTCAGAGGTCAGATACATGAATCCATTCATAGGTGGATGAGATCTGTGATGGATAAATGATGAATGAGATGGAATCCTGCTTCTATGTTTTTCTTCTTTGTAAAGTGAATATCTTCGTCTCTTCAGGCTAAATAATCAGTTTAAAGCCGTCGCCTACCCTGTGGTTGAAATGTAGTGATCATATTTCTCTTTTTTTATGGAAGATCTCGTCAAATTGATCGATAATGAAATCAATCAGACCTGGTGTGGAGGGGGCGTGGCCTTCTGGAGGTATTTTCCTAATTGATCATTTGCATTTACAAATGTACTTTTCATGCATCTCCTCAATATATTACACAGCTTCAACTGGGGTGAATTTATATTTAAATCAATATTACATCTTACATATAAGGTTCAGTTTAAACGACACACGATGATGTTGGTCTGGCAACACTTTTAACTATTAAAAATGAACTGTAATATTGGGATAGATTTTCTCTATATTTGTTTTTCCTTCTGAATTCCTCAATAATTGAGCCACAACCGTAAAATAAGAGAACAAAAGGCTTTTTGACACAAAAATGTGCTGTGGAGAAAAAGGGAAAGCTGGTAGATAAATGTGGTGAGAGCCGTTTGTTTCATTGATCCACACAAACCGGGTGACGTGGAGGCAAGATTTCACAACCAGGAAGACAGACACATTAGTCTGATAACAGAAATGATCCTTTTATTAGATAACGTAGATTCCTCCCGTCGGGGTGTCAGGTCCTCGGCGGCTTATCCTGCGGGAGAGCAGAGGAGAGGTGCTGTGGGGGTTCCCTCGATCTGCCTTCACTCCCTCCTCGCCTGCTTCTCCGTCCTCTACATCCAGGTCACTGCTTGATTGGGTTCATGGGCTGCAGCCCACCAACGCACCGGGTAACCCTCCCCCTCCATTACCTCCCCCAACCTGATGCAGCGTCTTGGCTCGGCCCCTCCTGGTGTGCTCAAACACTCAGGGCTGAGTACTGATTTCATTACACACACACACACACACACACACACACACACACACACACACACACACACACACACACACACGTACCGTTAGCTCAAAGTAAGAAGTCTGAAACAAATACAAAACAACTAAACAGCATTTAGAAGGCTGTAAACAAAGTAATCCATTAAGGAATCTTTTATTTTAAGAAGAGGCTCCTTCTCACCGACATGTCACTGTTGACCTTTAACACGCGTCAAAGCTGCGTTCTCCGTAGTGACCAGCAGGGGGCGACTCCTCTGCTCCCATAGACGTCTATGAGGAAATGACTCTACTTCTCTGTAGTGACCAGCAGGGGGCGACTCCTCTGCTCCCATAGACGTCTATGAGGAAATGACTCTACTTCTCTGTAGTGACCAGCAGGGGGCGACTCCTCTGCTCCCATAGACGTCTATGAGGAAATGACTCTACTTCTCTGTAGTGACCAGCAGGGGGCGACTCCTCTGCTCCCATAGACGTCTATGAGGAAATGACTCTACTTCTCTGTAGTGACCAGCAGGGGGCGACTCCTCTGCTCCCATAGACGTCTATGAGGAAATGACTCTACTTCTCTGTAGTGACCAGCAGGGGGCGACTCCTCTGCTCCCATAGACGTCTATGAGGAAATGACTCTACTTCTCTGTAGTGACCAGCAGGGGGCGACTCCTCTGCTCCCATAGACGTCTATGAGGAAATGACTCTACTTCTCTGTAGTGACCAGCAGGGGGCGACTCCTCTGCTCCCATAGACGTCTATGAGGAAATGACTCTACTTCTCTCTTGATTTATTCCCTCAGTAACTTGTGAGCTTTATGTCTCAGTCTCTAGTTCCAGTCTTCTTCAACACAACATGATGTTCATTTAGTGAATTATGGTCCATTTAGAGTCAAACAGACATAAAGCAGGGGACGCTTTAGGGCGGGGCTACACACTGATTGACAGGTCTCCAACAGACCATAAAGCAGGGGACGCTACCAGAGACTTAAACAAAGTGGTGTCACTTCCTGTTCACTGGTTTTAAAAGAAAATAACAACGTCATCCAACGTGTGATCCAAGAGGGCAAAATGGGGTCGAGACGTCAGGCCACAAACAAATGGATGACTCAATCATAACAGCAGCTGTTGTTTTTACCAAACCCAGCATCACACAGGCGACGCACTCAGCTAGCGACCACAGCTGGCTCACATAGCGCAGCTCTGAGCAGCTAAAGGCTGATGTTGCTGGTGGTGGAGACCAAAAGCAGAGCTAAAACTGAGAGCGTATTGGAATCTATGTACCAGCCCCCATCTCTAACCAATAATGACTTCAAAAGGCTGAGAAAAGAATTCTGTTGCACCGCCGCCTCCAAGCTATTCTCTGATTAAAGAATCTAATTTTTCATGCATTATACTACAAACCGGCTGTGTATCTTTAATTGAATCTCAGCTTGTTTCTCTGAGAAAATCCTTAATCCGCTCATTACTGTGCGATAACGCGTGTCAGGGTCCATCACTGCAAGCGGGAAGGAGGCGGAGCTACAGACGAACGTGTGTGTGGACCCTGTGAGCACCAATCAGGGCCGACTGCAGGAAGCGCTAATCATCTCCAGCCTGTCGTCTCTCCTCCAAGTGCTTATCAGCTTCCTCTTTGAACGTTATAACTTCTGTCGCTACGTTGTCCGATATTCCACGTTAAAGGCTGAATCGATGTTTTCACTCCGGACCAAACTATAATAATAAAGGATCTTCAGAAGAGCTGCTCACGCTTTCCCCTCGCTAAGCTAAATGATGCTAAGCTAAGCTAACGGTCTCCAGGCTGTAGCTTCATATTCACTGCCGATATGAGAGTGGCAATTAATCTTCTTATCTAACTTTCTTCTTCAAAGACATCGAGCACAAGCTGGAGTTCACTTTATTACATGTGAAGCTCCGTCACGTGTACACACACACACACACACACACACACACACACACACACACACCTGCCTTCCTGTGTGTTCATCACACAAAGACGTGAATGCACAACGGCCTTATGCAAATACACCTGAGCACACTCCCATTGCCCCGCCCCCCCACTGTCTGTACCTGGTTTTGATCGGATCCTTCTAGGCGGGGGGGGGCTTCTTCTTCTGTGATGTTCTCTCCGATGACGGAATCTATGCTCCTCATCCTTTCAGATGTTTGATGACCCCTGAAACTCATCAGACGTTAGCAGATGTTAAAACACGTCCAGAAGTTTATCGATCACTTTGTTTCTAAAAACACACTTTAATTATTCTCCCGTCACCAGAAACACGGTCAAAATTACCATTTAGTGTCGAAGGTTTCCTCACAAGGTCTGGTTCTCCACCTTTCATGTGTCCTCATGAGGTCTGGTTCTCCACCTTTCATGTGTCCTCATGAGGTCTGGTTCTCCACCTTTCATGTGTCCTCATGAGGTCTGGTTCTCCACCTTTCATGTGTCCTCATGAGGTCTGGTTCTCCACCTTTCATGTGTCCTCATGAGGTCTGGTTCTCCACCTTTCAGGCCTCCTGAGGACCAGACGTCCTCCACTTTTCAGGTCACATCATGAGGTCTGGTTCTCCACCTTCCAGGCTTTCTCAGGAGGTCTTGTTCCCCACCCTTGAAGTCCAGTGGTTTCCTGTCTCTTTCCCTCTGTCTTTGTCTCCTGTCACTTCCCTCGTCTGAAATGTTCTTCTCTTTGTTCCTCTCCGGTAATGACTTCCTGCCTGTCGTGTGACGCACAAACAAAGGTGAATGGAATACAATAGAAGATAAATAATTACCTTGGTGGAAACGGAGGACAAAAGTAGTGTGTTTGTCTAACTGGGACACGATGACATCATCCCAACCAAACCAGTCCCACTGTGTCCTCGTGGACCAGTGTGATGGTCCAGTTCTCCTCGCCCTGATCCCAGCCCTTCCATGTGATGGTCCATCAATACGGATCTGATATTTACACTTAAGCAGCAGCAGAAAGTATTAAATGCTGATTAACTACGTGAAATGTGACACCTTCTTCTTCACAAGCTACAAACACAGATGCTGCTTCTTCAAAAGCCTGAAGCAGATCAGTTTGAAAGGTATCAGGTATTGAGAGATATAATATATTGAGTGAGTTTTTGGTGTAAATCACTGCTCATGCTCGCTTGTGTATGTGTATATATACACCATTGTGTGTGTGTGTGTGTGTGTGTGTGTGTGTGTGTGTGTATTAATACGGGCCTGATGGAGCCCAATAGGAGCTGCAGTGTTCCCTCTGAAAATGATTTCATTACATTTGCAAAGTGGATTGTGGATGTTTGCCGAGTCAGGGCTTCTGGTACACACACACACACACACACACACACACACACACACACACACACACACACACACACACACACACACACACACACACACACACACACACACACACACACACACACTCGAGGGACGTGGTCTTTCAATTAGTGCGATTGGCTGCTGAGGCCTTGTGTCTGGAGGTGTTTTATCGCCTCTCTTCTCTTACTCCTCGTCTGTCGGACGGGTTCTGTACTTGTGTACAAGTGAACTCAATCTGACTCAATCTTATAATAATTATCTTCCTCAAGACAAAATGTGGGGACGACTGATTTAATATTTTATTATTTTCTATCTGTTGTGAAATGATCTGAGAAAATGTAATTTTCATAAACTTAAATTAAACTTCTTTTGCTAGAAAAGTCATTTTAAATTTCTCCTTAATGATCTTTCCCTGTGTGTGTGTGTGTGTGTGTGTGTGTGTGTGTGTGTGTGTGTGTGTGTGTGTGTGTGCAGGTTCTGGGATTACAGAAGGAACCGACCTCTAGAGACCGTGGAGCATCACTCAGAGTTTGTGTGTGGATTCGACTTTAACCTGCACAACCCCGGCCAGGTAACACACACAGACACACACACGCACACACACACACACACACACGCGCGCGCACACACACACACACACACACACACACTAGCTGACTGGTTTGGACTGCGGCGTCGTTGACGCCTCCCCCAACCGTTCCTTGTGACTGCGTCCTGCATGCAAACACTCACTGAAGCACCACATGTGGATTAACTCTCCCCAGAAAGTGTCCCCAACAAACATCTGTTCATTTGTATCTATTTTAATAACTGCTGGAAAATCTGAGTCAGGACGTTTCCACGACTCCGATTACGACGAGGTGGAAGTGCGTACATGGCGGGGGTCGAGCCCATGACGTCATGGTAAGGGCACGGTTTCCTACGGCAACCAGCCGGAGGGGTCGAGCCCCCCCACCGAGCTGCACGTTTTGTGTCATGGGGGGCAGCTGTGATCTACTGGTGCTTCCTCTGTGATCCGCTAAGTCAGCACTTTGTTCACATGATGTGGGTCCCTCACTGCTGAGGTCTGATGGATCACCTCCCTCACACACACACACACACACACACACACACACAGGTGTGTGTGTGTGTGAGGAGCATGAAACCATTCACTGGTTCTCAGGCTGCTCCTTTGAAGGAAGAACTGCTGTAACTGCAACCTTTGCCTTGCTCAGTGGTTCTGTCACCTCGTTAAAACCACAGGCCCTTTAAAAGGCATCGTGCAGGTTGTCATGGTGTGTCAGAGCTGTCACTCACAGCAGCGTTGCCACAGCAACCCAGCAGCGATTACGAGCGCTGTGTGACGCTTCCCCCGACAGAACATACGACAACAAGCCTGTCAGCGTTAATTATTATTTCTTCACTCGTGTCTGAAGAAAAGAAGAAGGACATCGAAGTGGAAGCCAGACTTTGAACTTTGTCGCGTGCTGTTCCTCCTCTCTTTGTGCTGCAGTCTTGGCCGGCGCTGCTCTCTTTCCATTAGGGTCGTTAAAGTTAATTAACGGAGGGAGAGGGAAGGTGGGGGGGGGAGGCGGTGGGTAAGAGGGGGGGTCTCTCCTCTGCTCCCTCAGCGGAGAGCGAGCAGAGTGGGAGGCCGGAGGTTGAGGCTGATTCGGGGATGATGAAAGCACATCTATGTACGAACGTAAAGAAGGAGACGCATGACGTCACCATAGCAACCCAATAAACCTGATGATCAGTCCAGACATCCATCTCATCGAAGTGTCACAATCTGAGACCTTCACATGGAGGAGGAGGAGGAGCAGGGGGAGGAGGAGGTGGAAGAGGAGGAGGAGGAAGAGGAGCAGGGGGAGGAGGAGGAGGAGGAAGAGGAGCAGGGGGAGAGGTAGAGGATGCTGAAGGAGCAGCATGTTCTTCTTTCAAACTTCTGCGTTTGTAAAATAAAATTCTCCCTCCCGATACAAACTGCACGCTTCACACATGACGGGTACTTGGTGTCCCAACATGCATTGCAACTGGCAGACAGCAATTATTGCACAAACTCTCCTCTGCATGTTGTTTCGCTCTAACAGCCGTCGTTCAATATGTAATTATACAACAAACCGGCTTCACGTTCATCATCTTCAAAGTGTAACCAGCTTCAGATGATAGCCACGTCCTCACTGAGGCCTGTTACTCAGGTGATAGCCATGTCCTCACTGAGGCCTGTTACTCAGGTGATAGCCACGTCCTCACTGAGGCCTGTTACTCAGGTGATAGCCACGTCCTCACTGAGGCCTGTTACTCAGGTGATAGCCACGTCCTCACTGAGGCCTGTTACTCAGGTGATAGCCACGTCCTGACAGAGGCCTGTTACTCAGGTGATAGCCATGTCCTGACAGAGGCCTGTTACTCAGGTGATAGCCACGTCCTGACAGAGGCCTGTTACTCAGGTGATAGCCACGTCCTCACTGAGGCCTGTTACTCAGGTGATAGCCACGTCCTCACTGAGGCATGTTACTCAGGTGATAGCCACGTCCTGAAAGGTATTCTCAGACTGGTTGTGATTAGTTTCTGTCGCTCTCTAATATTTGTGTTTTGGAAACGCATAAAAAGGCAGAGATCTGACCTGTGGTGAACTTATGATGCTTAATGGTCTCGGGAAGCAATTATGTTCATTAGAGATAATTACAAGAGCAGAAAGCTCTGACTGTCTAGCGTGACGCAAACATAAGCACACGAAGGAAAATCAAACAAAGAACGTTTTTCTAAAAATGTCCTTTTTAGTCCAAAGGAAAACAACATGATGTGAGTCCATCCTTTGGCCTTGAGACAGGAAGTGCACATTAGAGAGGAACGATGAGAGAACGGGGGACGTCTTCGTCCCCAAAGCGGATGATGGAGGGTCATTTAAGTGGAACTTAAGTGTCCTCCAGAGGAGACGCCAGGACTCCCTGAGTGTCCAGACTTCACCTGCTGCACCAAGACACAGGGACGTCTCAGGGACGACTCAGGGACATCTCAGTCTCAGGGACGACTCAGGGACGACTCAGGGACGTCTCAGGGACGACTCAGGGACGACTCAGGGACGACTCAGGGACGACTCAGGGACGACTCAGGGACATCTCAGTCTCAGGGACGTCTCAGGACGTCTGTGAGTTTGTGTTGACACCTGGTATTGAGCCCAGATGGTGCTTCAGTTCGTAGTCGTAGGCCGGGTGGAGGAAGTAGGCGTAGTCATCGGGTCTCACTGGCTGGTGGACGGATGTTGTGCAGCCTCCACTTTGTCTGGTAGAGAACCTTCAATCTGGTGGAAACTAAAGCTTTAAGACGTGGTCGACTTCCCGGTGACATCATCCGCCTCTTGTGTTACTCTGACACGTGACCCGCCCGAACACACCAGACCACAGCAGATTGATTTATGTCGTTATTTAACAGACGTTTAGATCATTTCCACAAACATAAATCTTTCTGAAGAAGGTTACCAGCTCTTTAGCTTCGACCTCGTCTTGTTGCTGATCGTTTCTTTGTTGCAGGTGGTGGACTGTTCCTGGGATGAGACGGTGAAGATCTACACACCTGCCTGTTTGTCTGTTGGGTCACACAATAGAGCATCGTAGATCAAACACACAAGTTCTCACGATGTCTTTTACAAACCAGAGAAGAAAAAACACAAAACGATGAAATGAGCGCGATGATGTAACCTTCACTGCTACAGTGTTACCGCTCACCTCTAACGACAACTTTAAACCATGAGATCTACATTGCGTTGTCCATCTATGGAGGTCCCCACAACGTGCTACACACACACACACACACACACCTCACCAGCTTTGTTGTTTCTGTGACTGACCTCACCGGTGAAAAGTCATCAATGGTTTGTATTTGTGCCTTTTAATAAATATGCAAATATCACATACTTTTCATATCTGAGATATTTGTTTTTACCTTCAAAGATGTTTTGATAATTTAAATTTAAATCACTTTTTTAAAGGAAAAGGCAGCAATTCCAGATTAATTTGGTAGATTTTCAAAGACCCGACTGAAGCGCACGCATGTTAAACCAAGTGACCCAATATTTTAAGTTGTAAAACATTATTATTAATATTGTTTTCCAGTGAAAATGATACTGGAGTGTAGAAGTTAAAGGTGGAGCTGATATAGTTTATCTATCCATGAGTATCTTCATCCACGATAATACGTCATTGGTTATTGATTACATTTCCTTTTAATAACTAGAATCTTGCGAAGTAACTAAAACAATCATACAGATGTGGTGGTAAAGAGAACAACACCTCCCTGAGAAGCTGTTTGTCTCTCATTGATATGAAAACGTATTGATCAATGGAGCTTTAAGCGATCAATCCACAACCTCAAAGTATGTATGGGCTGGAAGTGTTTCTATTTTTTTGGCCACCCCTCCTCCATTATCCCAGATGTGCAATGTCCCGTCCGATGATGCTGCTGTATGGACCTCCCACTCTCCCTCGCTGCAGCCAATCACAGCTCCCCGTGGTGATGATGCGTGAAGGTTTCCTCTGCAGGAGAACCCGACTCGCTCTGCTAGAAGAACATTAAAGACGAGTACTCCACGACGCTCCTCCACCTCCTCCTCCTCCTGCTCCTCCTCCTGCTCCTCCTCCTCCTCCTCCTCCTCCTCCTGCTCCTCCTCCTCCTCCTCCTGCTCCTCTTTTTCTTCTCCATCTCTCTTCTGCTCTTAAAACGTAATCATGAACTTTACAGATGCTGTTTTTCTACCGTTGAAGGATTATGAGACAAACCTCGATGAATATGGAACTTACATATATTTGTTTGATGATTAAAGAAAGTGGTTATTTTTCTTAATTCTTATTTTCTGAAAGAATATTTTTCTTTTGACACAAACCTCAAAGAAAATTAACTTTTTAAAAAAAATAATTATTTATTCCTCATTCAGACAAAAAACCTGCTGTAAAATAATATTTGATTTTGATTTATAATCAGTTGATTTATTACTATTCAACTATTTAATCAAATGCAAAATATGTTATATCTACAAGAATATGGTGTTTATTTATTTTGGTATGTTTAATGAAAAATGCACAAAATAACTCATCTAAAAGCTGTGAGATCACATTCAACAGAAATATGTTTAAATACAACAGCTTTAACTGCACATGTGCAGAAATGTGTTTAAATACAACAGCTTTAACTGCACATGTGCAGACATGTGTTTAAATACAACAGCTTTAACTGCACATGTTGAAATGTGTCTTTAACTGCATGCACATTCTGTGCAGAAATGTGACCGATCAGAACAAATGAACCTCTTCTAGCCAGTGACTGTTCTCTTCACATTAATTCAGAAAATGCATATTGGAAATGACTCTGACTAATCTGTATGAGCTGTAGTTTGCGGAACAATGGATGCGTGCATTTGTGTTGTAAATCCCCCCCCCGGCCCCCCAGCAGTTTAATTGGCAGCGAGTGGTCAGAGCTCGATAAGGCCGGATCGTTTCGCTCCTGGAGCTGCAAGCTGATTTCCTGATGAAGTATTTCAATTAAATACATCGTCCAAGTCATTTCCACGCCTGTTATGAGTGAGGGGGGTTGTCTCTGCTCCTCGTGAGGAGGAGAAGAAGGAGGAGGAGGGGGGCAGACAATCGGAAAAGATGGCCGACATCCAAACATTTAGATGTATTTGTTGGCTGCGTCCCAGTGGAGGGGTTCTGTATTCTGTGACTTCACCAGAGATAAATATCTTCCTCCCTCTGACACGTTGTGTCTAAATATAAACAAATGTAGTATTATTAATTTAAATTGTTTACATCCTCGTCACAGCTTCTCCAGTCACTTTCTACTGTTAAACGGTTTTGATTTGATTAATTTTCACTTTGATTTCTATCTTGATTTCTACATAATTTTTAAACCGTTTGATTAATTGATTATATATATATTCTACATTCATGTTCTCATCTAAGTGCTAAAAAACTGATGATCTGTTCTTTTCATTTTCTGATTAATTCCATCATATTAATCCTTTTATCTGTCGCAGATTTGAGGTGAACTAGATTCCGCTGAGAGAATAGAAATGAATCATTTCCCTCTGTGGATGTTTCTGTGAACGCAGATCTGAGGTCAGCTGGTGGTTCTGTGTGTCATCTGCAGGTTTCATGGTTTACTTTATGAATTATAGGGTTAATTAACATATTCACTCTTTTAGTCAACAAGCAGTTTGAAGTTTAAATTCAGAGAATAATTAAATAATCAAGCTGTCTCATTCCTTCCTTTTCTTTTCATGACATATATTTTGTTATTTGTATTTCTTAATTTGTTCTTGAGTTTATGAACCTGTAAAAATGATTCTGTCACTGTTAGAAAATCCACTTTTTATTTTATACAATTTCACCATAAATCAACGGTGTTGTGTTTTTTTAATATATATTTATATATATTATATATATTTATATATATATGACAGCTTTTGGTTGATTGATTAAACGGAGACAGTCCCACACCCCCTCCCTCCCAACGCCCCTCCCTCCCACGACCCCGCCCCCATAACACCCCGCCCCTAAAGTCCCGCCCCTTTCACGGGTCCACTGCCAAGAAGCTCTGCGGCAGAATGTCATATTGGGCAGTGGGTGCCATGAGGACGAGCTCCCCCGCTACTGGACTTCTCCTCCTCCTCCTCCATCTCCTCCTCCTCCTCCTCCTCCTCCATCACCTCCTCCTCCTCCTCCTCCTCGTCCTCCTCCTCTCTTTGGTCTCTGAGGAGCAGACGCGCAGAGAGCAAAGTCCCTAATGAAGAACCCAGATGAGTGGAAACCAGTAGGACTTTAAGGAGACCGGACCGACCCGGACCTCCCGCGGCCCCCCTTTTGCATCTCAGGTTCCTGCAGTTAGTCCGGTGCGTAACCCCCCCCCCCCCCCCTCTCCGTCCTCCCGTCCCCTGCATGACTTTCTCCCCATCGGCACCGCCATGGACGTGTTCAGGAGCCGCTTCCTGGGGATCGGCGTGGCCGTGGCGCACGGCGTCTTCTCCGGATCCCTCAACATCCTGCTGAAGTTCCTCATCAGTAACTATCACTTCAACTACCTGACGCTCATCCAGCTGCTGACCAGCAGCACCGCGGCGCTCACTCTGGAGGTCCTGCGGCGGGGGGGGAGGGTCGGGGTCCCCCCGTTCAGCCTGCAGCTCTGCAAGGTAACTTATAGATGTGTGTGTGTGTGTGTGTGTGTGTGTGTGTGTGTGTGTGTATATATATATATATAGTGTGTGTATATATATATATATATATATATATATATATATATATATATATATATATATATACACACACACACACTCTCTGATCCTTCTGCAGAAGTAAACCAGCATTATAATATAATGCTGCTTGGTACCCAATAAAACCAAAATAACTCAACTTAATAATGAATTAAAAGACGAAATAATCTGTATGTGTACAAGTATCTTCATTCTGTTGGATTGTTACAGTTTATTCCATCAAGCTGCAGTAAAACCATCAAAACGTGCAGAGAATAAAAACAGATCACCAACCAGTTTGTATGATTGATATTTATTGAGCAGAACAGTGAAAAACTGCACTGTGGTCAAACTGATTGATCGATGGACATGATGATTGACATGCTGACGGGTCGCTGATTGAATGAAACCATTGATTAACTTTATCGACAGAATCTCTACGGCAGCTATAAATGTGACTGAAAACGAGTAAAGAATCAGGATGAATATTCTGTGCTTATTGATAAAAACAGTAAGTCGCTGTTAGCGATTCATTCATAATTGACTAATTAACCCACTACGAACAATATCGACGGCTCTGATTGAAGTTGTTGGGTGAATCCAGGAGTTATTTTCCTTCCCATGTTGTTGAGTCTCACACAGTGTGTGTGTGTGTGTGTGTGTTTGATTGAGCACCTTGTGGGGACTTATTGCGTCTGTGAGTTGAAACCTGTCAGCGTTGGCTGTGGTTCCGATCATCCTCACGTTCTGCGTCCTCTGCAGGAGTTCGGCCCGGTGTGCATCCTGTCCACGCTGCAGTCCACCCTCACCATGTGGTCCCTGCGCGGCCTCAGTCTTCCCATGTACGTCGTGTTCAAGCGCTGCCTGCCGCTCTTCACACTCAGCATCGGCGTGTGCGTGCTGAGGAACGGCGGGCCGTCCGTCGGCGTGGTGATTGCCGTGATCATCACCACCGGTGGAGCCGCGCTGGCCGGTAAAAAGGCAGCACATTGACGCCTCGCTCAGCCGAGCAGAGGACGACTGAACGGCACCAAGCCACCGCCAGATATTTGCCTTTTCGCCGATAGATTCTGATGCTTTTGTCTGTTCCTTGTTGAAATGAATGCAGCAGAACCAGAGATTTGTGGCATCGTTCTTCCTCCTACACTCCTCACAAAGGTCCAGAGTTAGATGGGTGTTGGTAGACAGATGAGGACCAAAGTTCAGAGGGCCGTAAAGTTTTATTGTTCTTCATACAGAATGTGAGACAATAAAAGCTTATAGTTCTTGCTATATATTCTATTTAATAATGTAATACAATATCCCAGTTAGACAGCGTTTCCTCAGCTGTTTAACAGCTAATATTGATTTCGGTCCTTTAAAGACCCTTTAATCATCTTTCCCATTGACACATTTTATTCTTCATTGTTAATGATGCTGAAGTCATAAACACACACAAAACTTGAAAAGCATCTTAAACACCGTGTCTGCATCATTACACCTCAATCATCAACACGGGGAGTGACACACTTCTATTTCCTGTCAACCACGGCCACAACCTTTAAGACCTTGAAAGGGACCTTGAAAGGGACAGCGTGCGTCTAATTGTGAAGCAGCAGCCAACCGAATCCCCCCGGCCGCTGTCGGAGGGTCCTGACTTACCTGTGTTGGTCTAAATACACGAAAGGAAGTGACATCAATCCGTAATGAGCTTAAAACAAGTACCAACTACCCCAAATGAAGGGAAAGACACAAAGAAGACACACAATGCGTTGACTTTGCTTCCCATCAGGACTCTAACGTCTTTCTTCTTGGTGTAAAATAAAACGTAATCCAAATGTTTCTTCCCACTGCTTCATTCTGTACCGTGGGGAAGGTTAGCATTAGCTTCCGTGTTAGCCTGAATGTAGCGACGCGCGATCATTTGACAGATGTCAGCTGGGAGGGACACGGATGAACATTGGGTTTCCCCCCCAGGCGCCGGTGATCTGACTGGCGATCCCTTTGGTTACGTCACCGGCGTGCTGGCGGTCATCATCCACGCCTCCTACCTGGTGCTGATTCAGAAGACCAGTCTGGACAGCGAGCACGGACCCCTCACCGCGCAGTACGCCATCGCCGTCATGGCCTCCCCGGTAAGGCCGGCGCGAGGGGGGCGGGTTTGGTTTTACCTCGATGCTTTCGGACTCTTTGGCGTTTTCTTGTCTGATTAATATTATTATTATTATATCATTGCTTCCTGTCGCCGTCTCTGTCCTTCTCTGTCTCTGCCTTTCTGCGTCCTCTGACCGTCCGTCTCTCTCAGGTGCTTCTCGTGTGCTCCCTCATCTCCCTGGACACCGTCAACATGTGGTCGTACGAGGGCTGGAAGGACCCTCACATCACCGTCATCTTCGTCTCCTGTGTCTTCATCGGCTGCGCCATGAACTTCACCACGCTGCACTGCACCTACATCAACTCCGCCGTCACCACCAGCTTCGTGGGCGTGGTGAAGAGCATCGCCACCATCACCGTCGGCATGCTGGCGTTCAGCGACGTCTCGCCCACGCGGCTGTTCATCGGCGGCGTGGCCGTCAACACCGTCGGCTCCGTCACCTACTGCGTGGTCAAGTACTTTGAGACGAGGAAGAAGAGCCTGTACGAGGACCTGGAGGAGGCCGAGAAGGACGGAGCGCCGCCCGGCGAGCCTCACGGAGACAAACCGGGTCTGAACGGGTCTGACCCGGGACGGGCGGAGACGGAGGGAGCGGCGTGGACGGAGGGCGGGGAGGCGGGCGCTGACTCCCGAGTAATGACGGAGAAGGAGGCGCTGGAGATGCAGAGGGAGCACCTCCACAGGCAGAACACCACCTCCGGTCCGTCGGCCAGCGACAGCTACGTCGGGGTGTGGAGGTCCATCAGACACCTGCAGTTTGCCAAGAAAGACCCTCTGATGGACCACATGGAGCAGCAGAGTCCGTAGGAGCAGAGACCTGGACACAAGAAGACGTGAGGGAACGAGAACACGAAGAAGAAGGGGATTTGTGAACGCGGCTCTTCTGACAGTCAAATTCAATCACGCGACGCTTGAAGAGCAACGAGGACTCAGGGGACAGGAAGTCCTGTTTTGGTTCCTGGGGGAGAAAAACAGGATTTGGAGTTTTGGCGAGAAGCTGCCTGTCCCCGTGGCGTCCGGTGGGAGGATGATTCAGTCTGCGCCGATTGAAAAAAGTGCATCTTGTGCGAACTGAGGCAAAGCGAATGCTTGTTTCTGATTGGCTGGTGTGAATAAACAGCATGCGCTGGTTACGAAATGCTGACGGACGCTCGTCTCCGCTGTCCGGAGGTCTGCTGCCGATTCTCCCTTCATGTCTCTGTCATGTCTCCATCATGTCTCCGTCATGTCTCTGTTCATGTCTCCCTTCATGTCTCCGTTCATGTCTCCATCATGTCTCTGTTCATGTCTCTGTTCATGTCTCATCATGTCTCTGTTCATGTCTCCCTTCATGTCTTTGTTCATGTCTCCGTCATGTCTCCATCATGTCTCCCTTCATGTCTCCATCATGTCTCCATCATGTCTCCCTTCATATCTCCATCATGTCTCTGTTCATGTCTCCCTTCATGTCTTTGTTCATGTCTCCGTTCCTGTCTCCATCATGTCTCTGTTCATGTCTCATCATGTCTCTGTTCATGTCTCTGTTAATGTCTCCGTCATGTCTCCATCATGTCTCTGTTCATGTCTCCCTTCATGTCTCCATCATGTCTCCATCATGTCTCTGTTCATGTCTCTGTTCATGTCTCATCATGTCTCTGTTCATGTCTCCATCATGTCTCCGTTCATGTCTCCGTCATGTCTCCATCATGTCTCCATCATGTCTCCGTTCATGTCTCCATCATGTCTCTGTTCATGTCTCCCTTCATGTCTCCATCATGTCTCCATCATGTCTCTGTTCATGTCTCTGTTCATGTCTCATCATGTCTCTGTTCATGTCTCCATCATGTCTCCGTTCATGTCTCCGTCATGTCTCCATCATGTCTCCATCATGTCTCCGTTCATGTCTCCATCATGTCTCTGTTCATGTCTCTGTTCATGTCTCATCATGTCTCTGTTCATGTCTCCATCATGTCTCCGTTCATGTCTCCGTCATGTCTCCATCATGTCTCCATCATGTCTCTGTTCATGTCTCCATCATGTCTCCGTTCATGTCTCTGTTCATTTCTTCATCATGTCTCCGTTCATGTCTCCATCATGTCTCCATCATGTCTCCGTTCATGTCTCCACCATGTCTCCGTAGTGTCTCTGTTCATTTCTCCATCATGTCTCCGTTCATGTCTCCATCATGTCTCCGTTCATGTCTCATCATGTCTCCGTTCATGTCTCCATCATGTCTCCCTTCATGTCTCCATCATGTCTCCATCATGTCTCCATCATGTCTCCGTTCATGTCTCCGTTCATGTCTCCACCATGTCTCCGTAGAGTCTCCGTTCATGTCTCTAATGTCAAAGTCCCAGAAAGCGTCTGTTTTCACTCGAAACGAAATACTGATAGCGTGGATTCATGTTGTGACAGATGTTCTCATCATACATCAGGGAGGTATTTTATCCTTTTTTCCTTCTGAACGCTGTCTTGGGGACACTTATCGTCACGTTAGCATAGCTTAGCATTCATAATGCTGGCTCCGTCTCGGGGGGGTTGAAGAGTCGTTTTGTGGAAATGGTATTCTTTACGTTTGACGAGACAGTTTTGCCAAATTGATTCTGGCTCAGTAAACATCTGGATATTTATATTGATCACTTCTTCATCTCTATACTTTACGAAACATGACATGAAAGAGGAATTATTCTTGAAAATGTTGCTAAATCTGTTTCAGTGGTAGACCTTCCAACACAAGTACAACAGAAAGTACAATAACTACACCGTACAAATACTATTTCCTCCAGCAAGCAGCGCCGTCCGACTGGATCTCACTCACATCTGGAGACATCGATCAAACACGGGACGAGCTGCAGGCGTCTTGAGATGAGCTGTCCAGCGGTGATATTGATCAGTATTGATTTTCCTTTCTCACAGTCACCTGAACTTCATTTGACGCCACAGAGGAGCTGATGTCGCCCGTAGCGGCGGCGGATCCCTTGTTTCAGTCGGGTGCTGTTTGGGTGACGACGAGTCAGCAGGCCGATCCCCACGTGTGAACGACCACAGGGGAAAACGCACGAATGTGTTTCCAACTAAAACGTCCCTCGTTCCACGGATTATTCTGTAAATTATAGACAGACACATAAAGAGATTAAATCCAGATTAGTTAATTACGCGTCACATGAGCGCTTCAATCTACCAAAACACACCAAACAGGATCGAGCTTAATGTTACACTTCATTTGTTTCCATGTTTCCTGAAGAGAACCAGTTATTGAGACGCATCATGCGAGTACACTGAAAAGTCTACAGACAAGTTCTACCTGAGAATAAAGCGCTCAATCAACTCAAACCTTCCCTACAATTAATACGGTTTAGAACGAATGCAAAGAGAAAACCACTGTTGGACTTGCAGAAGAAGTAAAGTTGATTGAAATGCAGAACGTTTGTGTTTGTTCTGCATTTGATGTTGTTGTTGTTTTGTGTAACATGAAGCCATTAATTCAGTCTGGTGTCAGGAAACTGTACATTTATATTTATTTAAATCTTAAAAGTATCATTTCTACTGTTTGGACAAATGACCCAACACATGGAAACACTGTAATGAAACCTAAAGGCCTAAATGACACGCGTGTATGAATCAATAAATCCTTCCCTGCATTATTGAACTTGTTCTCCAGTGATGAAGCCTTTGACTGTATTTAACCTCATCGTTCCCAGCGTCTGCTGAAGCTCTGCCTGCTTACATCGACACTCAAAGGCCGTTGCCGTCTTCTGGAGGCGACATCTTTGGCAGTATTGCAAAATAAAACAGGAAACTGTACCAAAAGATGTGATTAAAGATGCTGATTTACAAATGTTTATGCTTTTCTTTTCATTCATAGCGTTCATGTACTTTTATCATCGGGGCTGAAACTTTAAGACCAAAGCTTTGGGACAACAAATGAATAAATGTAACACATCGATGAGCCGCTTGTCGGAACAATTTTAAAGGGAACCTTTTGGTATGCTAACGTGCTAACGTGCTAATCTGCTAACGTGAATACAACAGCAGTTAAATGTGACACTTTACTGAAATGTCCTTTCCACGTCCAACTTTGGTCCTCACAACTGGACTCCACACACACACACACACACAGACACACACACACACACACACACACACACACACACACACACACACACACACACACACACACACACACACATGTCAGCACACGTGTGTGATATTTCACCATCATGATGTCATCGGCGTCCCATGTTCACAGGAGCCTCGATCATTTCATCAACACAAACATGTTCTTTGACAGTGTTTTTTCAGTGTTTTTTCAAATTTTGCCAGACATGAAATTACAAAACGGAGAAACCCTCATTTCTCTGTGTGATGTGATCTTTTTTGAGGTGTGTCCTTCAAACCCTCACTGCAGCACAAACACACACACAACAGACACACAACACACACCTGCACACGGCTGTCCATCAGGCTGCCCATCGGGACGAGTTATTTCTCCCTGAACTTGGATCAAATGTTATTTAAAAGCAGCATGAAGCACATACATGTACATGTAGAGGTGGACATTTTCACTCGTCATATCGGCCACAGAAACCTCTCGTGAGTCGTGTTGTTTATGAACAAGAGTGTTTCATGAGATTAAAGAGCTGGAAGCTGAAACAGAGAAACATCTCACTTCAAAGACGCTTCCTGTCGCCACGAGGCGCCGTGAGCGCTCAGAGAAGAAGAGTAATGGTGAACTTAATGCAAAGAGGCTCGTTGGCTTCATCTGCACAGAAACACTATCAAACGATAGAAAACACACAGAGGACGCTTCAAATGACCACGAGCAAACAAAGTGTGGGGGAGAGAATCGGAAATGACTGAAGAGGATGCTGCTGCCGGCAAGTCAAAAAATACAATAGAATAGAAAGTCAACCATGTTTAGTTCAAATAAGTTTTGTCTAATAATGCAATGGAAGAAATGACAAAATAATTGGGTCAAAAAATATTTTGAAAGTCAAAAAGGAGGAAAAATGTCCCGAGAGAAAAAGTTGGAAAGTATAAGGTAAACATTTTTTTTTGAAAAAGAAAGTCAAAATATCTAAAATGGAAGAATATTTAGAAAAACAGTCAAAATACATTGTGTCGATTGTGATGGAAAAAAGACAAAAATATTTGGTCAAAAAATATTTTGAAAAAAGAATGTCAAAATATCTAAAGTTGAAAAATATTTTGAAAAACGTTTTTAAAAAGTGTTGTATTTAGAAATGAGAAAAAAGACAAAATATTGGGTCGAAATATAATTTGAAAAAAGTCAAGTCAAGAGATAGAAAGTAATATAGAACGTCAAAACATGTTTTTAAAAGCTGTCAGAATAAGTTGTGTCTAGAAATGTCATGGAAATAAAAATAAAAAGATATTTTTTTAGAACAGACAAAAAAATAATAATATATGTCCAAAAATGTAATGTGATAAAAATAATAAAAATATTGGGTCAAAATATAATTTGAAAAAAATGTTTAAAATATGTAAGGTTGAAAAATGTCTTAAAAGACATTCAAAATAATTCTAGTCTAGAAATTGGGTCAAAACATAATTTGAACAAAAAGTCAAAATATATAAGGTGAAAAAAAACAGTCAAAAGTTTGTTTTGAAATAACATTCTTCGACATAACATTTGCAGCTGAAATATTCCTGTGAACATGGAGGTTTATTTTGAAAGAACATTGTATTCATATAGCAACAGCCTGACTAAACATCATAGAAGCATGGAGCTACTGAAGGGAGAATGGGTCACATAAATGTTGTCTGGGAAGTCCTTCATGCCTAAGCTGTGCTTAGCATCACAGTGTCTGAAATGAATGCTGCCACCGACGACGTGTCTTTAAAAACTAAAAGGAATGATCTTGGAACGTAATGTCACGCCCAAAAGTCCTCACAAGGATAGAAGGACAGGAGCTCCCTCACACACGGCTCAGGCGGATGAGGAGACGCTGTCAGACAGAAACGTGGATGTGACAGAGGTGAAATGAGAGCTAATCGCTCAGAACGCTCCGCTCACAGGATTTAAAGGATGGAGCTCATGGAAGCAACGCTCTGCTCGTGTGGAACTCTCCTCCTCCGTGCGCTCGCTGAGGCGGCCACCGTTTGGTGGGGTGAGGATATTTTGTCCAGAAGGCTGTTGGAGGTGATTTCTAACAGACAGAAAGGAGCATTCAGAGAGAAACCCAGTGGAGTGTGTCAGAGGGCGACCATGAACCCACGTTCAGCTGAGCTAGACTCTAAAGCTAAGCCTGACCTTTAACCCTGCTAATGAGTTCAATTAAACCATATCGATGGCTCGGAATGAACATTTGTTAATTCTAGTAATACAACATTAATAATAATAATAGTTTTCTACATGTGGATTGAAGCCGGTATACTAAGTTATGCACATTTAGATAAGTCGTGTTACAAAGATTAACTGTTTAGCAAATTATAAATGTCTGATCATCACTGTGTAAATGAGCATTTATTGAATCTCTAAGTCTCGATTAAATGTCAGATTGACAGAAAATAGTAGTTAAACAAGAAAAATAATAATAGAAAAACTATTTACAGAAAATAGTGCATTAAATTTGAGACTTTTTGGTTTTGAGCACATATACAAACTGCGTCGCTATCTGCTGATGTAGCGGTTATTAGTTACAGACCAACCATAAGGGACAAAAGTACATTAAACCTCCGTATCAGAATCAGCTTTATGAACTGATCAATGTGTGAATAAAAAGGAGCCTTAAATCCCATGTTTCATGAGTACAGACGTGATATGAAGAACACTGTTTCCATCTAGTGGAGGACAGATGGTTGTGAACATGAGGAACAGGTGAAGAATCCTTGCCGCCATCTAGAGGAGACGTTGTTGCTCTTTATCATTACAGATAAATTCCCCTTACTGTCATGATAATGTAACGTTTACGCTCGTGACCTTTTGGTTGTGGAACAAACCGGGTAGCTCTGTAATATCTGTGTGTGTCTCCTTGTTTACCGACCTTTGTGAGGACCAGACAGATTCAGAGCTGGAGACGAGGACATCCTTGAAGGGTGAGGACACCGTGTTTTGTCCTCAGCATGTTTGCAGTGAAGGTCTGATTCCGTTGATGCTGACAGGTTGGCGACTTCTAGAGAGGTTGGTGACCTCGTCGAGCATTATTATCACACGAGGTATCGAATACTCCATGTGAAGGTTTGTGTGGAGAACCTCCAGTTTCTCCTCATTAGTCTCATGATGATTTACAATAAGAAGGAAAAGTTTCGTGTTTTACTGACTTATATTGTTCCAACAAAGTGAACAAAATAATGCTTATTAAAGTAAATACGAAGCTGTTGTGTGAGCAGCCAAGGAACCTCAAACAGAAACATGTGTCTGCACGGCACAAGATCTTGTGATTGTGATGCAAGATTTCAGACAAATAGTTTAAAATAATAACAAGCGAGCAAGCAAGTGTTGTCAGAAAATGACTTTATTGCCATCGAATGATTTCATGTCGAAGAGATTTTAATTTTCCACCAACAGGCTTTTGTTTTGGTAGATTGAATCTTTAGAAAAGGGACAAAAATACTAAACCAGTTGGGACCAACTAAAGATTTACACACACACACCACCACACTGTCACCACACACACCTCCACTTTAGCTGGCATTCTTGCCGTTCCTCTTCTTCTTCTTCTTTGGCGTTTGCTTCTTGGAGGACTCGGCATTCGGTCCTTGCACTGATTCAGCGTGGAGCTCCCAGTCCTCCACAGGGATCACTGGTTTTACCTCGCCAGCCTCGACCGGGATCTCAGCCTCTGCAGCTTTCGGGTTGGGCTCCGTGGGAGGGTTGATCTGGGCTTCTTTGAGCTTGGATGTTGGTGCTTGTTCATCCGGTTGCTGGTGGATCTCCTCTCGTGGTTTGACTGCGTGAACCTCTTCATCGTGGACTGGGGTTGGAACGTTCACCGTGTCTGCAGGTATTATTTCAGAGGTTTCCTCCACCGGTGTGGAACCGGCTGGCTTTGGATCCTCCTCGACTTGGACGGGGAGACCTTCTGCAGCCTCTGATTTGACGTCTAGCGCCTGGACCAAAACCGCTTCCTCTATGACCTGCGTTTTGGTTTGGAACTGGAGAAACGCAGAGGACATCAAGTCTTCTTCTGGGTTTACATCAGCGTTGTCCTCTTTGTGGTTGTTGCTGGTTGTGGCCATCAGGGAGGCAGCGATCTCCTGCAGCTTCACCTGCTCCTCCCTCAAACGGGACATGCCCTCCGTGAGGACCAACTCCTCCTTCTGGAAGTCCTGGAGGTCCATGGTGGTCGGCGAGGCAGCTCCGTTTGCCCCCTCTGGGTTGGGGGTTTCATTGGTGCTTCTGAAGGCCTTTGCGGAGATGTCGGAGTTGGTCTGGCGAACTTCCTTGATTTTCTCGTAGAGGATCACCCTCTCGCTCTGCAGGGCGTGACACAACCTCTCCAGATTCTGAATCTTCAGGACAAAAATGTCGTACTCTTTGCTTTTCTCAGCTCTCTGGTGTGACGGAGAAGATGAGACGCAGAGAAAGGGAGACATTATGAGACCGAAGGCCGAAGGTTAGCAGCTCAGCGGCAGAAACTGTGAGCACGCACCTCCTCCATCATGTCATTCAGAGCCTTGTTGCAGTTCTCGAACCTCGTCCTCCACAGAGTCGACTCTTTCTCCATCTTCTTCATCTTCTCCGACATCTAAAAAGAGGAGGGGTTTAAAAAGACAACCTGGTTCCATCAGAACACAACAACCCTCCTCAGAACCTACGTTGTCCATCTCCTTCTTGAAGCGGACGTAGATCTCGTTGCTTTTGGCCAGCGTCCCCTGAAACTCGTCAAACTTCTGAGCGTAGAGGTTAAGCTGTGGACGAGATGGTCACACTGAAGCAGAACATCGACCCCTCATGCCAGAAGAACACATCCTACACAGTCCCTGGAAACATTTGCAGATCATTAATCTAGTTTTTTGGTTCATTGTGTTAACACACGCGCACACGACACAACAGGGAAACTCAGTTAAACGTTTGAACCACACCTGAAACTGGAGGTTAATACGACCACAATCAGCTCCCCGTGATCCTTCGTTAGGCGCCATTGATCCGTAATCATGAGCGACATTACGACAGCACAAGTTGTGATTCGTGATAATGAGTAATGAGGAGTCACACCTGTCATTCAACCCCTCAGTGTGACACCTGAGGGGTCACATGTCACTCATCAGCTGAGAGCAAACCTCACCGAGGGAGAAAAGGGAATTTGCTGCTTCATTGGTCATAACTTTCAGTTAGAAATTGAAACCGAGCTGCAGATGAAACGCTCGTCTGCTCCTTCAGAACTTTCTTTACTTTGAGAGGTGAAAGCAACAATCCGATTTGTGAATACTTGAAGTACTTTGAGCACAAACTGACTTGGTCAAAGTCAAACATTTAAGCTGAGAGTCTCTCGGTCTGGAGACAAACCCGGATCCTTTTCTAAAATGTTTGGTCTTTTGAGGGTTTTTGTACCTGGAGCATTTGGGGGTTTGTGATGTTTTCATACAGCAGAAAACACCAGAGTTTAGTTCTTCTTTCAATGCTTTCAGTGGCTCAAACATTTAAATTAACTTCATAGCTTAACATTATATTACGCGGTTGGAGAGGTTATGAAAAATATATATTAAAAATATAAGAAATACAATATAACAATAACAATTCATCCTTAACTGGACACTTAAAATACAAAGAAAAATGGAAAAAAGTCTCGAAGATGGATGTGTCACATGACCCCAGTGGTTCTAAAGCCCGCCCCTTCGGCCCCGGCTGCTGCCACCAGGTGTGTGCTAGCCGAGAGTATTCACCTGTGCCTGCATCACTGCCCCCTGTTCTCTGAGTGTCTGAGTCTGCAGTTTCCACTCAGCAGCCTGAACCAGTAACTGTTAGAAGGGACAGACGGAGACCTTCGTTACCTTCTTCTTCATGGTCAGCTCCAGCTCCTTCATAGCGTAGCATTTCTTAGTTTTGTCAATAGCCTCCCTAAGCAACTACGGCGACAGAGACAATACACAGTCAATCTGGGAATAGTCAACCACTTATTCGCATCAATAAAGACACAATTAGCTTTAAAATCTATTAATGAAATATAATGGAAAGAAATCAAGATAAAAGATGTAAAAGACTGAAACAGCAGCGAAATAAAACATCACTAAAAACTGTCATCACAATGTCAGTTAAACGTAATGATTCGGGATCTATTGGAAGGATGTTTAACAGTAACTGCTACATTCATGAAGTGATAAAACAACAACAGGTCCGATTATGAAAAAACGGATCCAAGAATCACCATAAAATGAGAGCTTTAATTATGGTAATAATCAAAGAAATAGTGTCGATAGTTTAAAGAATCCTCCCATATCAAGTATTATGTGTAGATGATATTATTATTACTGCAAAGGAGAGTTCTGATGGAAACACGTCTCTAAAACATGGAGAACCCAATCAGAAGGTTTGATGTGAAATGATTGACATATGTTGGGACTCACGTATTCCTTCTCCCTCTTGTGCTTCTCGGCGGCCTCGCTCAGCAGCGCGTGGGCCTGCTGCAGCTTGGCCTCCGTCAGCTTGTGCTGCAGCTCGCGGTGCTTGTTGATCTTCTCCAAACTCTGCAGAGGGACGGAGAGCATCTAGCTTAGCTTAGCTTAGCTTAGCTTATCCTACCCACGTGTCCGTTGACCACAGGTTCATTTAATGAACATTATGTTACGGGGAGATGATTTGTTACATTATTGTACAGCCTCTCGTACCTTATTGCTTTAATACAAAATTACCTGAATTCCCACATATTTAAACTGTTAGTTTTAACGGGAACTAAAGACCAAAAGTATTTCATATGATTGACGTTTATTGATGAGTAAATGTAGATGAAGTGCTGCTCTACATAATGTACTTAATGTGAACCCCTCACATGCAGTATTAGTAGTAACTAGTCATTAGCTCTAGAGCTGTTATGAAGATCATCCAGTCAAGTATGGAGGCCGCCCCGTCGACCTCTGACCCCTCACCTCCTCCCTCATCTCGCACTGGCTCATGAGGCCCTCCAGCTTGTCTGTCAGGCTGCTGTTCTCGTGGCACAGCTTGTCGTTGCGGGCGCTGTGCTGCTCGATCTGGGCCTGGATCTCCGTCAGCATCGCCTGGAAGTGCTCCGTGATCTCCGTCTCATCTCTCGTCAGCCTGCAGCGTCGCAGGGTCTCTACTGCATGGGGGGGGGGGGGCAGGGGGAGGGGTGGAGGAGAGACGGAGGGAGTGGGGCGGAGGGAGGGGCGGAGGGAGGGGCAGAGGAGGGGCAGGGGAAGGAGGAGGGAGGGGCAGAGGGAGGGGCAGAGGGAGTGGGCCGTGGAGTGGGGCGGAGGGAGGGGCAGAGGGAGTGGGGCGGAGGAGGGGCAGAGGAGTGGGGCGGAGGGAGGGGCAGAGGGAGGGGCAGAAGGAGGGGCAGAGGGAGGGGCAGAGGGAGGGGCAGAGGGAGTGGGGCGGAGGGAGGGGCAGAGGGAGGGGCAGAAGGAGGGGCAGAGGGAGGGGCAGAAGGGAGTGGGGGCGGAGGGAGGGGCAGAGGGGGGGCAGAAGAGGGGCAGAGGGAGGGGCAGGGAGTGGCAGAGGGAGGGGCGAGGGAGGGCAGAGGGAGGGGCAGAGGGAGTGGGGCAGAGGGAGGGGCGGAGTGAGGGGCAGGGAGCTCTTTCTCGCGGCACAGCGACTCCAGTTTGCTTCGAGCGCCGACGCCGCTGCGCCGCTCCTCCGTCAGCACGCGGCGCTCCTCCGTCAGGGCGGCCATCTTCTTCTGCAGGACGCACAGCTTCCTCTGGTCGCTGCGCCGCTGCGCCTCCTGCACGCACACACAGACACACACACAGACACACACACAGGCGTGGTGAGAAGACAACCCTCCCTGGAGTCCAGCTTGTCTGTGTCTCCAGAGGAGGAACCCACCACTTCAGCGTACTTCCTGACCAGGTGGTCCAGCTTGTTCTCCGGAGAGGAGAACTTGTTCAGGCTCTTCATGATGAGGCAAACCTCTGCAGGGAGACACACACACTTGTTGTCCACGTTTCTACAGCTAATCAATTGTGAAATATAATACACACAGATATCTGATTTCAATTTTAAACATTCAGCAACAATAAATAAATAATAATTATAAAAGCTGTCTGTAAATGTTTTATGCATTTTTCCTACAAAGGTGCAGCAACCCGTGTTACAGGAATAGTAATTATTGTAATGGTCACTTCTTGACCGTGTAAACCCTTCATGTTCTCTGACGGATCAATGTAATGACTACATCCAGCTGCATCATGGGAAATGCAGGCTCGAGACCCAGATGACGCCGGCCCATGTCCGTCTTAACTTCATGAATTTAGTGGCATCATTCCTCACCTGTCTCCATGGCAACGGGGACGTCGTCCATCGGCTCCTTCTCCGTCTGCTCCGCCTCCATCAAACTCTGGGACAAGAGCAAAGATTCACCCGGAGCCCCCCGGAGCAGATGTGCCCCTCAGGTGTGTGTCTGACACTCACCTGCTGCTCCAGGAGCTCGGCGGCCGACCCGTAGACACTGATGATGTCATCCAGCCTTCTCTTGAACCCCTCCATGGGGTCGGGGTGGTCGGCGGAGGAGGGAGGGGCTCCCGCCTCGCCTTCTGCCTTCTTAGCCTTCCCGTCCGACGGGGGGGGCACCACCAGCTCAGCCGCTGTCACCGGCGTCTCCATCCTCTGAGAATTCTGGGAATATTTCCTGGATTCACTTTGCAGCCAAAGTGGCCAAAGTGTGACATCATCAGACGAACGGCGGCCGCACGTCTCTTTAAACGTCATCACACGTCCGAGGCCTCGGTTTAAGAATCAGTTCATCTTAAATTAAAGTTAAAGGTTGCAAACAGCGGTTTGTGGTGGAAACACAACAGTGTGTGTGTGTGCGTGTGTGTGTGTGTGTGTGTGTGTGTGTGTGCGTGTGTGTGTGTGTGTGTGTGCGTGTGTGTGTGCGTGTGTGTGTGTGCGTGTGTGTGTGTGCGTGTGTGTGTGTGTGTGTGTGTGTGTGTTGTTAATATCCTTTGTAGGCTGCTGTGAACAAGCAGAGATTTTCTTTCTGGTGATCTGGGTTCCTGAGGGCTTTTCAACGCACACGCACACATTGGGGAGGGCTTTCCCTCCTCCATCCCAACCCCCATCCAGTCAGTTACTCTCTAGTTCAGTGAACATCCATTACACACACACACACACACGAACACACACACGGTGTTAGTTGTGCGTTTGTGAGGACCCTCACTGCTCTAATGAATCTCCTTGTTTCCTATCCAGATAAATCTGACATCCTACAGTCGGTTTGTGGTGTTAGTTGACGAGGTAACGTGTGTGTATGTGGTTGTATGTGAGTGGACAGTGTTTAGTTTAATTCACGGTGTGGCAGCTTATATTATCTTGGATGTTAGTTGTCTTTGTTTGTTTGACAGGTTT